CGAGATAAGAGGGGGAGATAGGGAAAGATTGTTTCTGAATGTTTGCCGAAGTGGGTTTAAGATGTTACATTGAAAGTTACGTGCTGTATTTTAGACACCGTTTAAAAAAAAAAAATTTTGTCATATTTTCTGTTGAAAACATCACCAGTAGCTTTTAATCGTTTCTGAAAATGTACGCAACTGATGGGAGTTTTATGTTTCACTACGTTTTAACACGTTTACTGGTTGTTGTTTGTACATATGTAATGATTTTGTCATTCCACTGCTGGACGAGTGTATGTCCAGTCATCGGGGTTCATTTAACTAGACTTCACGACTGTTTTTAAGCTTTAAACAGATATACAGTATTTTTGTAAGTTGTAAATATTTGGACATTATTTTTGATATAGCATGTTTTGTTTGTATTTTGTCATAGAAACATTTTTCGTCATGTAAACAGCAGTTATAATGCCAACTTTTAGCAAAGCAGGACACTATTGTCGTTGAATATCACTCTTTTACTGTTTTTGCATCACTTTTGCAGTTTAAGTGTCAGTTTCCACCGTGATTTTGCGCAAAACCATGGAAAACCGCTTCAATGGCTTAAAAACCTGTTTCAGTTTTGGGTATCCTAATAAATCAGCGCACCCTGGTGGTAAAACAGTGCCCCTAGCGGTCAAAAAATGTGTATGCGTAAAAAAACCCTATAACATTTCCTCCTTTTCTGTTCCAGGTCTCCTTCATGTCCGGTCCAACTCTCAACCTTCTTTGTGTCGCCACTCTCTTCCAGGCCACCTTCATCACATCTGGATCAAGTCTCAACTCTTTGGGTTCAACATCCACCTGCACACATGATCCATTTGTGTACACACACAGGACTCCCTCCAGGTTCTTCAACACCTCCACCTACACAGACGTCAGTTAACATTCACAAAGGCACGTACCATCTTTCCGATGTATATTCAGCAACTCACCTTTGCCAAAATTTGAACCTATGCAATTGTCATGCTCCGGCTGGTCACCCCGTGGTGCCCTTATAAAACTCAACGTTTAACCTACTCACGCCGGCTTGTGCCCGCCCTCACAGTCGGGCATATTGCCAGAGATACACCACGCCGCCGTTGACCCTGGCCATTGACCCTGGCCATTGACCCTGGCCATTGACCCTGGCCATTGACCCTGGCCATTGACCCTGGCCATTGAACCTGGCCATTGACCCTGGCCATTGACCGAGCAACCCAACGTTCCTACCAGCTCCCTCCGCAGGAATGTGTTATCATTCATTTGTACAATCTGATTAAAAAAATATTTTCTGACCGAATACATTTTTTAAAAAATCGTTTGATTTTTATTGTAAACATTTTTTTTCTTAAATACAAGCGTTGGATTTGAACCCACGACTCCGTGACTCACAGCCCCTCGTGCTCCCCACTCGACCACCAACCAGTGTGAAACGTCAGAGGGCCCCACGTGGAATCGGGACTGCACTGCACGCACGTGGGGTTTTCAGCGCGATTGAAATATCATTATTGCACGTGCCGCAATCACGTGTTGACCTTATCCTTCGAGATTTGACGTTTTCGTGACTGCAGGGATCCATACTCTTTGGTTCTTTCGGTAAAGTCACGTAGGTATAACATATAAAATAAATTAAATCTCTTGCCCGCTTCAGCAATTGTTTATTGCTGTGGTTGTTCCACCTGATGTGTTGCGCCCGAAACGTTGTGATTCAATTTATTTTATACATACGTGACTTTACCGAAAGAACTAAAGAGTATGACCTTATCATGTTATGCGGTCCGTTCCGTGACGTTTAAATAAATCACTAAAATATTACTTCGGGGATTCGACCCCGGATTGACTGCTTGGTAACGCTACCGTGTTGTTCCCGACACTACAAGGGTTCAGGGGAGGGCTGTAAATGATATGGTTATTGCATCGTTCATATTGTGGTAGTTACACAAATGCAAATAAATGAGAAAAAAATAAGTAATCTTTTGATTACCATTAATTTTTTATGTAATAAAAATCCAAACAGGCCAATGGAGCTGGAATTGAACCCAGAACGCTACAGCCTAAATTCCATATCCACTCCCCGCTGAGCTTCCATGCAGCGCTCTACGCGAACTGGAATCGCTGTCAGCATAATCAGCAGCAGCACAGGCGTTGAAGAAGCAGGCACCACATGGGCTTCCCCCAATTATATATTTATCAATGGAGGCAGCATCCACTGGACAAACCACGACAGATGCGGATACCCGATGCACAAACGGAAAAAAAATATATAAAACACTCCATTGTGCGACTGAGGTCATCCAGAACAGACCACACGACGTATAACGATACAATTTCCGAGCCACAAATATTAAGGAGACATCACAGCGATACACTCCGCTGCTCCTCACGGGGATGTCTGGCTTGGCCACCTGAATGTGACGTTGTTGTTTCCTCTGCATCTACAATCAGCCATATGACAGAATTAAGCATGACGGGTAACTGTTGGACACCTTGTTCTCTTAACTTGATGGAAATTCCTGAAAAAGCTGTCAGCCCAGGCGGATGCACGGTGCGAAAGTTCAACATACGAACAGGGGCTTTCCGGATAGCTGAAAAGTGCGGCTATGGCTAAAAACAACCCCAGGCGGTTAGGCTGGACTTACAGGGAGAGGGAGTCTGGCTAACTAGTAACTACAAAAGTCCGGCTATGGCTGACAACCCCAGCGACTAGCCGGATTACCAGGAGCGAGTCGGGCTAGCTCAGGGGTCGGCTACCTGCGGCTCTTGTAAGACTGCTTCGTGACGTCACAATGCACGTGGTATTCACCACGTGCATTGCAGCTATTGGAATATTGAGGGGATTTTTTCTTTTACAATATTCGAAGAAAATGGCTCTTCTTGTTATTTTGGTGGCCGACCCCCTGAGCATGCTGAAAAATCCGGCTATAGCTGCAAGCCCAGGCGGCTAAAGCAGACTAACAGGGGCGAGTCCGGCTATCTTAAAAGCCGGGCTATCGCTGCAAGCCCAGGCGGCTAAGCCGGACTAAGAGTTGGTAAGCGACAGGGAGGGTTGATGGGCGGGGGGGGGTTCGGCTATGGGGGGGGGGGGGTCCGGCTATGGGGGGGGGTCCGGCTATGGGGGGGGGGGGGTCTGGCTATGGGGGGGGGGGTCCGGCTATGGGGGGAGGGTCTGGCTATGGGGGGGGGGTCCGGCTATGAGGGAGGGGGTCTGGCTATGGAGGGGGGGGGTCTGGCTATGGAGGGGGGGGGTCTGGCTATGGGGGGGGGGGGTCCGGCTATGGGGGGGGGTCTGCTATGGGAGGGGGGTCTGGCTATGGGGGGGGGGGGTCTGGCTATGGGGGGGGGGTCTGCTATGGGGGGGGGGTCGGCTATGGGGGGGGGTCTGGCTATGGGAGGGGGGGTCTGGCTATGGGGGGGGGTCTGGCTATGGAGGGGGGGGTCTGGCTATGGGGGGGGGGGTCGGCTATGGGGGGGGGGTCTGGCTATGGGAGGGGGGGTCTGGCTATGGGGGGGGGGTCTGGCTATGGGGGGGGGGGTCTGGCTATGGGGGGGGGGGGTCCGGCTATGGGGGGGGGTCTGGCTATGGGAGGGGGGGGTTGGGCTATGGGGGGGGGTCTGGCTATGGGGGGGGGGGTCTGGCTATGGGGGGGGGGGTCTGGCTATGGGGGGGGGGGTCTAGCTATGGGGGGGGGTCTGGCTATGGAGGGGGGGGTCTGGCTATGGGGGGGGGGTCTAGCTATGGGGGGGGGTCCGGCAATGGGGGGGGGGGGGTCTGGCTATGGGAGGGGGGGTCTGGCTATGGGGGGGGGGGGTCTGGCTATGGGGGGGGTCTGGCTATGGGGGGGGGTCTAGCTATGGGGGGGGGGTCTGGCTATGGAGGGGGGGTCTGGCTATGGGGGGGGGGTCTAGCTATGGGGGGGGGGTCTGGCTATGGAGGGGGGGGGGTCCGGCTATGGGGGGGGGGTCTGGCTATGGAGGGGGGGGGGTCCGGCTATGGAGGGGGGGGGTCTGGCTATGGGGGGGGGGTCTGGCTATGGAGGGGGGGGTCTGGCTATGGGGGGGGGGGGGTCTGGCTATGGAGGGGGGGGTCTAGCTATGGGGGGGGGGGTCCGGCTATGGGGGGGGGGGGTCTGGCTATGGAGGGGGGGGGGTCCGGCTATGGGGGGGGGTCTGGCTATGGAGGGGGGGGTCTGGCTATGGGGGGGGGTCTGGCTATGGAGGGGGGGGTCTGGCTATGGAGGGGGGGGGGTCTGGCTATGAGGGGGGGGTCTGGCTATGGAGGGGGGGTCTGGCTATGGGGGGGGGGGGTCTGGCTATGGAGGGGGGGGGTCTGGCTATGGAGGGGGGGGGTCTGGCTATGGGGGGGGGTCTGGCTATGGAGGGGGGGGTCTGGCTATGGGGGGGGGGGTCTGGCTATGGAGGGGGGGGTCCGCGCAGCACGTGGAGTAGCTACCACGTGGCCCTGTCTCGCGCACGCCGCTCAATGGAGGCGCGGCGCGCAGTGCGCATGCGCGGGGCCATGAGGAGGAGCAGGGCGGCCGAGGCGGCGGAGGCGGCGCCGCGCGGAGCCTCGCAGCTGCCGCGGCAGCCGCGGCCTCCCGAGGAGGCGGCGCTGAGGGCCACGAGGGAGCAGAGCGTCACCATCGTGCAGCACAAGATCCGTAACCTGGAGAAGAAGAAGGTGGGGAAGGCGGCGGGCAATGCAATTAGCGCGTTAATAATTTCATTGTTTTGAACGCGCGTTGTCAATGGGGAGGGGGAGGTTTCCCAGCGTGCATTGCGCGGCGGTTTCCGGTCCCCGCCCCCTCACACCCCCCCCCCTCTTTAACCCCCCTCCCCCCGCCCTTCAATAATCGCAATTGCATTTCCCACCACGGATAGGCGAGCCCCCGCCCCCCTTACCGCCTCGTGCGTTGGAGTCACGTGGCGTCGCTTGGACCAATAGAGCGGCGGCGGCTATGCGCGTGCGTTGTATGTAATGCAATGCGGCTCCCTCCCTCCCCCCCTCTTCTTCCTCGTTCACTTCAAGTCGCTCGTCGCTTCTCTCGCCGCTTTGCTTTAAACAACAAAAATTCGGATAAAAACACAAACAAACAAACCGCCCCCCCCCCCAACTCCCCACACCGAACTCGACGCAAATTTCTCCTTCAACCCCATTTTCCGTCGCTTCGTCGGCGATCTAACGACAACAATAAAAGACTAGAACGCGCAGCGCGGGAGAAAGTCATGCCGGCCATCACTAGCAAGGCGGTGAGCGCCGCCGCGGCCTCGGGCACCGCCACCACCACCACCACCGTCGTGGAGACGGTGTGGTCCGAGCCGCTCCGTCAGGCGCTGCTCGTGCTCGAGAAGAAGGCGAGAAACCTCGAGAAGAGAAAGGTCCGCAGATGCGTCGGCGGGATTTGCGCGTCTTTTGTTGACTCCCCTCGACGTTGTCGTCGTCGTCATTTTTTGTTTCGTCGTCGTCGTCGTTTGATTGACGCGGGGATGTTGGCGCGCTCCGTTGCACGCCGCCCTTGTTCGTTGTCGCTGCTGCTGTTGTTGCTGTTGTCGGGCAGCGTGGCGGCGACTTTGTGTGTCCTGGTGGTGGTGGTGGGCCCCTGGTCGTGTTTAGGGGGGCGGGAGAGCGGTGGCGCAGCGGTTAGCGCGCCGCGCTACGAAACCGATGCACCCCCACCCCACCCCACCTCGACCCGAGTTGGAGTCCCACTCGAAGTTTTTATCTCAACCGGTCCTGGGCCTCCCCTAGGTCGACTCGGCCTCAAACTAGTGCTTGGTGCGGGGTGCGAAACGTCGCCGCTGGGGAGACAAAGGCGGCCGGGCGTGGTGCTGGCCCCCCTCGTGTGCCACAGTGCCTGTAGCCTTCATAGGTGCTGCTCGCTCACAGCACTTGCCCCTACAGTCTGTGACAGGCTACACGGGGGGCCTTTGTCTTTGTTATCGCCAACCTCTGGGTGATGGACCTGTAGAAGGCCAAATGTGGGGATGCCGAAACGTTCATGTTACAACTCACGATTGCCTTCAGTGCGAGTAACAAGTAACGAGTAACAATACTCTTGGCAATCTATTCATGAGTTCAGTGCCAATGTCGAGGCCTTCTGACCGCGACGAAAGTGCTACGGGAGGACGACTTTGTGTGGTTTTACTCTTCCTCGTTCGTTGAAGGGACGTACGCGGAACTTCTGGTTGTGTACATTCTATTGTCACTGGCATCAATGCCGTATTCACGTGGAATGGATGTCCGTTTGTTGGCTCAAGGTTCTATTCCGGCTAAAGCGATGGGAACGATTCACATTGCTGCTGGCCTGGTCCGAGCAAAACGTCAAGAAGGGGAAGTTGATGCGGCTCTGATCTTCACGTTTACTGCTCCATGATGCTCCCCCTTCCCCTCGTCACATACCTCATCCGCAAGAAGCAGCATCATCGGCTTTACCGAAAAAACATAAGAGTATGAATCCTTGCAGTCACGAAAGCTTCAAATCTAGAATCATCATCATCATTTAGATGACATTAACATGGGATGTTGTTGGCAGCCGTTGGCGGCTTGGCTACTTAAACATTCGGGATAGTTGATGGGTGGTGATTTTCATGTGTTGATGAATTCGAGTTGGAAGAGAGGTGTGGAAGCTCTAGTCAGGTTGGCTTGTGTGATGTGTTCCTCATCAGCAGCAGCATCATCGTCGTCGTCATTAATATTAAGGTATAGCTTGTGCTAGCGAGATTTATTTGGCAGCTTGGCTCGGGTGGTGGTGGTTGTCTACTGGGCCAGCAGCTGACAACCGATACTACTCGTGATTTAATCATCGTTAATGTAGAGTGGAGTTGTTGCTAGGCATATATCGGTCTTGTTGTTTGCTGCATAGCTACAATGGTTGTTGTTACCGTTGGCCTAAGGAAGCTGGACAAACGCAACGTAAACCTCGCTCGCTATGCTGATCCACTAACTTCTTGTGTAGTATATTGGCATGCCATATAATTTTTGGTGATATCTGTTGGCGGTGGTGCACAAACACAGACACTAAAACACCACCAACACGCGATTCGATAACAATGCCTTAAATTACAGCTGCTGCTTGGTTTCGGGTTGTTGAGTTTGGTGGTTCAGCTGTTTGGGGGCAAGGAGGATACGTTGTTATTTTACAGCCGAGCCAAGGCAAAAGGACCTTTCACTCAATACTTTCGCTCATTATTAACGTAGGAAGTAGCTCCTGGGTTTGAAGGTCGTTGTTCGTTGGCTATATCTGACGAGATCTGTGTACTTTAGCTAGTAGTGGTGGTTGTGGTGGGTGGTTGGCATGACTGCTGGATTAAGAAGGCGAGTAAAGTGGAGGAAACTGCCCTCATCACGACTCTTAACGTGTTACCTTGGCTGTGTTTGCCACTCTGCTCAGTCGGGTCGTTGCTGCTGACAACATCCATGAACCACCACCAGTGGCTGCTATGTATTGGCTACGTAGGGTGCGAAAGAAGTTCAACATGTCCCTGTTGGTCTCTAAACGAGTGTACGGTATTTAGAAGATTCCAGACCATAGGCACGCATCAGAGTTATCTCTACTAGTATAGATCGTTATATAATCACCACCATCTAATATTCCAAAGTATAATCGTTATTAATACCGTACGTATACAGTAGATTCACCTGTAGCGTCACTACCACCGTCATGATCGTCGTTTACCATCATTGCTCGCGTGTGATGTCCTTCACATGGAAACCTTTTGCCCAGTGTCTAATTACATCATTCTCAATCTCATATTCTCTCCATTACGCGGTGCTCTTGCGGTTTGTCGAATCCAGTGTCCTTAATACGTCCACGTGCTCCCGCTACATTATTTATTAATATTCAATAGTTTTTTTATTTTCTCGTATTTTTAATATGCATCGTCCTCATCTTAAGGCAGAACCGTTGCAGACGCAATCCATTGATGTATAAACCCACCCCGACTGTGTCTTAAGCTCTGCTTTGTCTCGTCTTTCTCTCCACACCCCTCCTCCTCCCCTCGCTCTTTGTATGCGAGTCCACTGCACAGCCGTGCGAGTCGGCGGCGTTCCCCACGCTACAATAATCTCCACAGTCACCTCCTCCCTCCCCTCCTGCCGTGTTTAAAACCTCGGCCATTGTCTTCGTTTGTGCGCCATGCAAAACGAGCGAGAGCCCCCACCCCCCCGGGTCTCTCCTCTCCGCACGTTGTTGTTGTTGTGTTCCGTGACCTCGTCGACCTGTCCGTGTGCGTGGCGCGTAGCGTCTTGTACAATCCACACAGCCCTTTCTCCCGCGCCTATGAATCCCGTCTGTCTGTCGCCCACTCACGTGGTTCTCGGAAGTCTGAACATGGCTCCCCCCCCATCACGACGACCACGCGGCATGGGTTGGGCCCCCCGAACCCACGCGCCGCGGGGTGTGTGCGTTGTGGTGGTGGCTGGCTGGGGTGATGGGGGTTGATGAGTCCGTTACACACAAGTTGTTTTTTGCACAAATGTCCGATTGATAACCGTTATTATTGAGCAAAAACTAAATCGCGCGAGAGAGGGAAGAGACGCGAAGCCATCTTATCTCGTGTTGCCACCCGACTCAGCTTTACGGGCAGCGTTGTGCTTGTACCCCACGGTGGTGTTGCGTCTCGATGTGTGCACGTCTGTACTTGTCTTTGGAGCGGTAGTGTAGCAGTTAGCGCGCTATGAACTCGGCAACCTGAGTTCAATTCCTGCTCAACACCGGCGACGATTATCTGCACCAGTCCTGGGTGTGGTGGCATGCCCCCCACCCACCCACCCCCTCGTGTGCCATGCCCCCCACCCACCCTTCGTGTGCCATGCCCCCCACCCACCCACCCCCTCGTGTGCCATGCCCCCCACCCACCCACCCCCTCGTGTGCCATGCCCCCCACCCACCCACCCCCTCGTGTGCCATGCCCCCCACCCACCCCCTCGTGTGCCATGCCCCCACCCACCCACCCCCTCGTGTGCCATGCCCCCCACCCACCCCCTCGTGTGCCATGCCCCCCACCCACCCACCCCTCGTGTGCCGTGCCCCCCACCCACCCACCCCTCGTGTGCCGTGCCCCCCCACCCACCCACCCCTCGTGTGCCGTGCCCCCCCACCCACCCACCACCGCTCGTGTGCCGTGCCCACCTTCATAGGTGCTCGCTAACAGCACTTGGCTCCCACAGTCTGTTAAGGTGACACGGGGTGGGTCTTTGTATCTGATTCCAAGTCATCGTTTGCGTCATTCAGCCTCTGTGTGCCAGTCACACGTCCCACTTTGTTTCCTTATCGCCCTGGCCGTGTCACAGTCGCTATCTCTGTTATGTACTGTTCTGTATATTCAGTGTTCCGTTCGTCCGAGATCCTGTCTCTTCCACCAACACTTTTAAGCCGTCTGTGTGTGTGTTATATACCTCGTGGTTTATTTAGCTCTATATAACACAGTACATTTCGTGTAAATATCTCAAGTTATATTTCTAAATACACAGTTTAGTATAAATATGTCGTTATGCTGCTGATCATTGCATTGTATGCGTAGCTCGTTCTTGTGTCTGTACAGGTACATTGTTTGCCTTCTTCTAGAGAGTGTGCTATGTAAATGTATTTAATAGGCGTCTATCAGCTGTGTGTACAATCTTAGTCATTCATAGGTGTGTATTTGTCTTGCTGTCGTTCTATAGTGCGGTATGGCGTAGTTTAGCTGTGTGTCGAGTATAATTCTGTCTTGCCGTGCCAGTAACTTGGTGTGTGCCTTCTAATTGTCATGGCTTTATTTCATTGACCTATAGTTAAGTACTGTATCTTGTACTATGTCTAGGCTGCGCACAGTGTACATCTGTCCCTGCTTGTCTGTCATGTATTCGACTCTTGTACACATCAGTCTCTGTGAGTTGCTGTTTGTATATGTATTGTATATCTCTGAATGTTGTCTATTATTCTGTGTGTGTCCAGTATAAATCTGTCAATATATCTCTTCATCTGTCATGCATGACTCTTTATCGATGTGCCATAAATGTCTGTTTCTAGCTGTGTATTTACCTCACTGCCAGTGTATTTAAGATATATATATTCTTTACATGCCTCGGTGTATCGCTACATAGTATCTTTTATCTTCTATTATTTCGTCTTGTTTTCCTGTCAGAGCCCTCCAGCCCCCTTGTATTGAATGTTGCACAAAAATACAATTATCATATCCTCTATACAGAGCTGTGTTTCATGAGTCCCTCCCTGTTTTTTTCATTAGGGCCTTTTGTTGGCAAGGTCCTCGTTTTTATATATTCTGCTATGACGTTAATCGCCATGAATAGAGCTGCATGGGATGTGTTTGTCAATAGCCTGGCCCTTCGCTAAAGCCGAGGTGACTGGGGATCCGTTTCCCATGAGTGCACGACCTGTTTATTATTAAATTGCTATATAAGTAACTGTTGCTGACCTATTAGGATTCATTTCCACAGTGCCCTCTCTTAAGTGCTCAGTCCTAATGTTTTCCTGTGAATATTCTTGTCTCGTGGTTCATCGTTATCACCAGCCATGATCAAGCCACTGCTAGATGAAGGCCTTCCCAAGCCGTAGCCATTCCTTATGATCATGCGATGTAACACTCGATCTAGTCCTTGAACACGAGCTGATGGCATCCGCTCCATTTCATCTCCGGCGCGTTACCACCTTTGCCTGCCCACTGATGGTAGGCTCAACCATCGGTCATCATTCCTTACAGCGGTGTGTGCCAGCGTGTGGTTATATCCATGCATTTATGTACGTACATTCTATATATATGTAACTGTAGTAGTTTAAGTAATGGCTGTATTGGTGTTTGTAGCTAATACCTTTAACTTTCATAAGTTCCGTCTATGTAACAAGTCCGTTGGTGTGCCTGCATTGTGACTGATGCTCATCTTATATATAAACTGTTTTCGTGCTCATGTGTAACTTCAAGGTACTTGAGATGTATTCTTTTATGTTGCTATATAAACTTAAACCTTAGGTTTGTACACTACATTGGCTTTGTTTTATTGAGTCAAAAATCCAACCCCTGTGGAAAAAGACAACATGCAAACAACCCCCGCACGAATGCATAACAGTTTCCACAACTAACATTTTCCTCTACTTGCCATTTCACAGTTCTGCAGTGTTTGGTAAAGAGGAAATGGACTAATGTCGTGGTAGTGGATATCAACTGCAAATAGATGCACTCGCCGAAGATTATTATTCCTCAAGGAAGCTTAACCATTGCGTTAAGTTTTATATACGAGGTTAAACTTGGTTGTAACCATTACCATACCGCTCAATCCCGTGCGAGCCTCTCGTACTCTGGTTGGTGGAAAGGTATTGGATGAATATGGGAATGGGCCTCGTCGAATGGGGTGGTCCCTAGTGTGAACATTTCTGTGTTCTTGTGACAATTTCCTTGGTCACAGAAGCTTGGCTTTGCATTGAGAGAGGCTCCGTCACGATGGTGGTGATTATGCGACCCAGTGCTGTCCCCACCATGCTAGTGTTGTCCTCATTACATATATGTTTTAACAAACTTGTAAGTTATTGGCCCATTCCAGCAAAGCCCCAGAGGAAAATTGTAACGCACGTTCAGCAATAGCTTTTTGCTCTGTTGGCAGTCGGCAAAGTGCTTGTCAACTTTTTACAGTGTACTCTGTTTAAATAGAGGTATTCTAAAACGAAAGTAAGATTTTCCTCATTGATGCCTTATGAGGTTGACGTCTGTTTTTTTTGTCAGAAAACATAACATTAATTAAACGTTTAAAGTGAGTATACCCCAGGCATGCATGTCCAGTGTATTGTATCAGTAGTTTCAACGTGTGTTTTCTTTTCAACAGTCCAAGTTGGATGACTACAAAGCCAAGCTTAACGATGGACATGCTCTCAACCAAGACCAGCAGGTACATTATTCTTCGGCATGCCCTGCAGAACAATACAGCCTGTCATTCGGTGTGGCAGCTGCTGTGCTCTTAGTAGCTCGGTTTTTTAAGTCGCCAGTGTGGTTTACACGCAAGTGTTTTAAATTGAAACATCTGTCGTTTTGCCATCAGGAAGCCGTTGCTAAGTATATGGAGGTCGTCAGCAGCCTGGAATTTGCCCGAGACCTACTGAAGACCTTTGCTTCACTCAACCAAGATGTAAGAGGGTGGGCGGGCTATAGTTTTTCCATAACTCATCGAACATTTAAATGTTTTTCCCTCATTTTAGATACCATTGTTGCTATAATCTTGAGTTGTACAATTCACTAGGGTTATTTTTTTAAAACATTCTATGAACATAGTTACATTTTACATTCACTGCTAGGGGAGTTTATGGAATATCACTTGTATGCATGTGGACCAAATTGTTCAAAATGTTTGTGGGTTCCTTGGGTTGCGAAGCCTAATAACAGTTTCATGTCAAAGTCCATCGTTTATATAACGACAATTTTGCCCCATGACCTATTTCGTTCATTGGACTACACTTTAGCGGTTACATCATCCCAGGAAAAGACAAAAATAGGTAGGTAATTCCCCAATAACAACCCACATTCAAGGTCCCATTGAGTTTTGAATTCTTCCACAGTACAGTACACCAGTGGTGTAGTGTGGTTGGCATGCACCCTGGTACATGGAATGAAAATGGGTCCCTCTGTCCAATTTTCCCACCTTTTGTAGCCTGGGCCGCTCCAGGCTGTGTGCCCATGCACAGTTGGCATGGCCTTCATGCTCGATAGCTCCGCAACTGTCTTGTTACACCCTTCACGACCTAACCTTCATCTCTGATTTATCCAAGCAACCCGTTGTTGCATACGCTGGGAGAGCGAGCGCTTGCGGGTGCCAATTGGCTATCGCAGTTCCCCGCAAGGTCGTTGGAAAAAATGTTATTCTTGCTATTCTTATAGTGCATGGCTATCTATATTTACAGACAACTTTTTAGTCTGCAGGAGTTTCACAGGAGGGGGGTGATGTTGCTTATGCGGCTTTACTCAATCAGGTAATTTGTGAGTTGGTTCAAAATTGTGAATAATTTAGACCGTGACTTCAGCAGACACAGCCTCTTTTTAAATAACGCTACGGGATCTATAACTTCCACTGGGAACCGGAGTGGCCGTCGTGTTCGATGCTCCACTTTCCGCAGCAAGCGTCTCGGTTTGCGTGCCCGTCATTTTCCTTCTCCAGGTGCAGAAGGTGCAGAAGAAGGCGGCGCGGCGGGAGCAGCTGCTGCGTGACGAGGCCGAGCAGAAGCGCTTGCGGCTCGTGCTGGAGGTGCAGTACATCCTCGACAGCCTGGGCGATGGGGCGGCAGCACGCCTCGACTTCTTGGCCGGCCAGAACGGTGCCGCTCTGCTCTTGAGCCAGGAAATGGCCTTCCTGGACGACCTCTACAAGCTCGTCAACCCTGAGCGAGTGGAGACCACCAGGTGGGGCCCGCCTCTCTCTGTCCCTTGCGCGACTTGCTGAGCTGTGCGTTCAATACTTCACCGATACAATATTTGTTAAAGTTTCCCCTAGAGTTTTGGATTCTTTGAAATTACATTATGCCAGTGGTATGTTGTGGTTGTTATGAGCCCTGGTGCAAGACCTGAAATACGGAGGTGGGGGGTCCGCTTTGTCCAATTTCTTCCTCACATGACCTCAGTATTCCATTGGTCGGATTTAGACGTTATGCTTGTCGCAGTGAGTTTTTTTTTTCTTTTTTTTTCTTTCCCAGTAATATTAAAATATACTGTGCACGTCACATTATTAGAATACATTAGTTGTATTTGGAACACTTGCAGCTGAGCAGTCTCGTGTCAGGACTGCACCAGAACATTACGTAACATAACTACTTCTGGGGTCACTTGCAAAGCCCACCTGCTCTCATTAGTGGAAAACCTTTTAATGCCCTGCAAAGATTTATCATCAGATGTGAATCAGACTAAGTTACTTAATTCTCAGTGCTGGAATAAGCCCAATCAGGTAAATTTTTAATGCAGTTATTGACTGGACTAAGGCATTACCTCACTACTTGAGAGTTTAGTTTAATCACAAGTCACTGACTGAATTCACAGACAGGATCTAAGCCACACCTTGGCCACCTTGCATGTAAGTGCTGTTTAGTTTTAGCCATTCCGCTGCTGTGGGTTCTTATACTTTTTGATTTTATTTACATGCTTAATGAATAATTTACTTTGATTTATTATTACAGCTTTGAAACCCAGATGGAGCAAGCATCGCAGCACTTATGGGATCTGGTGGAAGGGAAGGATAAACCGGTTGCAGGAACTACTTGTAAGTGAACATTTAATTACTCATTGTTTTATATATTTTTTGACATCCCACATCTGGAATATCACAAATGTATTTACATCTCAAAACCATTTCCACTGTTAGGTCACAATACTTGCAGTTAATATTGTGTTTTCTGTATTCACTTAATTAATTGTACATAAAATAAATGTAATTCAAATGAATGTAAAAGCAAATTATTGTTGAAGTGTTTTCGATGTAAGAGCCTCTCTCTCTCTCCCTCTGTACAGACAAAATCTTAAAGGAGGTCATCGATCGGGTCCGTGAATGTGGCTACTTCGATAACATCCACACGCCACAGAATGGGCTTCAGGAGGCACCTTCAGAGGAACAAGACCTTGCCAGTTCTCCCGAATCGGAAAAAGAGGAGAAAGAAATACCACTTCCACCTGAGCCGCAGCCGCAGCCACAGCTGCAGCAGTTGCAGCAGCAAGTCCCAGAAATTGGTACTCTACAGACCCCATGTTTTATTCATTTCACTATTACATGATTTTTTATGGCGATATAAGTACCTTTACATATTTTCTTTGTCCCCTTATATTACCGTTTTAATCGGTTACAAACCAGCTGTGTTTTATGCATCTGTCCTTTAGAAAGAAAAGGCAAACCCCAACTAAGGAAATCCCTTTACCTATAGTTGAGTTCTGACCACCCTTGAGCTTATTGGGCTGTATATCGTTTCTTAAGCTACTCTAGAAGGCATGTTTTTAGACATTGTCCACTATTTCAGAGTGCATTACACTTCTAGCAATAACATGGTATGACCACATCAAGCGTGAATGATATTTGTCGGGCGATAGATATTTTCAACTTACGGTCAACTTGGATAATTGACGTCCTGCTGCATAAGGACCCACTGATAGTGGTGACTCAAGACTAAGACCCATGATTTCAGAAGTATTTTTTGAGTACTACTGCAATAATTTAATGGAAAATTCTCTAAATAAACATAAAATCTGTACACGATAGGAATGAGTTTTGAATGCAAAAAGAAATAATCCAAAATTGTAAGGACACTTTTACCCAACATCACATGACACTGCTTTTGTTTGGAAAAGCATGGAATTGACAAAATATAACCAATGTCATACTTATCGATCTGAAATAACTTCTGACAGATTAGTCAAAATTATTTTTCTTTTTGAATAAAAAAAAATAGGGAACACGATGCCCAGTACAGGAAAACAGCGCTTAAAAAATCTTCAAGTTTGTGTTTTGGAGTGTAAACATGCTGGATATGATTTGTGGTTTTTAAGTGTCGCTGTGATGTTTTACCGCAGAACCTGAACCTATTGAGGAATTTGAAAATGTGTGTGAAGTCCAGCCACGTGAGGTATGCCGGCGCAAGAGTTGATCCTTGATAGCAACGTTTAAACTTGTTTTCCTCTACGCAGTATATGTGGAACGTAAAAGTCCTAACTGGAAACACTTTGTTTGTACCTTTTCAGTTTGTCAATACACATTTCCTGGCAGCAGCAACCAAGACAGACTTCATCCCCAAACAGACGGAAGAGATTCCTTCATGGAATTCCGAGCCTGTTGAGGTAGTCTTATTTCCAGTGATAATCCAAGACATTTCTGAAGACGTTAAAAGCAAAATGTGCAGGCGTAATATATATATTTTTGAGAAATTTCTGTTATATTTGAATCTACTGAGCCGGTTATATTTGAATCTTCTGAGCCGTTGCTGGATGTAAACTTTTTAATGTAATTTATATTTCCAGAAAGCCTCATTGAGTCTGAAGACTAGTAATGTATGCCAAGTACTAATGATATAGCCCACCACATTCATCATAGTAGAAGGGCCGTTGCTCCAAAAGTTTGCTTTTTACCTATTTTTGTAAGGCAGTGTTGATTATAACTCGTAGTATAAGGCATTCGTGATAAACGAGGTGCCCTTTTTTGGCTTTTTAAATCATAGATTCATAAAAGCATGACTCAAAAATAAAACGTGCCAAATTCATAATGAACACTGCCTTGTAATATTAAAATATATACAATGCTCATGTTTCAGTCAGTGGCCTTCGTTTGGAGCTTCAAAGTAAAAATAGTTTTTTTCTGTTATAAGGCAGTGTTGATGAAAAATGTGGTTAGTTTTTCTTTAGCACGACTGCAATGCTTTATGCATTTTCAAAGCAATGTATGCAGTTTTGGATGAAGGATTATCTGATCAATTCAGCTATTTGGCTAATTTGTTGTCAGCAGAGGGCAGTGCAAGAAAATTATTTGTTGTATTCTACTATGGTACAACATCTATGTTCCCTGCATTTGCCAACCTGCATTGACCAGCTTGGTCAAGTATGGTCAAATAGCTCCCAAGACCAGCACTGTGTGGGGGTGCCCTCATTCAGCATGGATTTGAAAAAAGGGGCTGTGCACGTAAAAACAAAGATTACTGCGTGCCAAATTCTAGGCAATGTTACAGGGCACCCATTAAAGCATTACAAAAATATAGTAATTATTGACACTGCCTTTATAATGGAGGGTTGAAAAATACGTTAAAGATGCTTATATGCATCCAGAAAAATACTGATGCTTAGTATGCGCATCCCTGTGTTTTCCAGCAGCGGCCCATGCCTGTGACGGAACCCTCACCGGTCGTAGTAGAGGTCCAGGTGGTCCCCCCCGCTCCAGCTCCTGCCCCTCAGGACCCAGTGCTCCGCCAGCAGCACGTCCAGGACCTTATGGCTCGCATTCAGGGAACCTTTGATTTCATGCAGGTGTGTGTGTGTGTTTGTGCACCAAGTGGGGGGGGTGGTGGCTACGAACCCGGCAACCCGAGTTCGATTCCCGCTCACGGCCAACACCTGTGACGACTTTCTGAACTGGTCATGGGCCTCGCCTAGGTCGACTCGGCCTCAAATGAGTACATAAACATTGCTACTAGGAGACAAAGGGTGTGGTGTTGGCCACCCACCTCCTCGTGTGACGTGCCGGCCGTCTTAGGTGCTCGCTAATAGCAATTTGCCCCAACAGTCTGTTAAGGCTATATGGGGGGTCTTTGTCTTTGTGTACCATAGTCACTTGGGATCATCGCCTGTTGTTAAAGTAACCATGACAAGTTGGAGCGTGTCCCTCCCTGCTCAAGCAAGCAGATGTGGGTTAATGGGCCAGTGGTAGAGATGACATTCTTATTTCAATGATTGGTTTTGCATAAAGTGATCCGTTGTAACAATTTGAGAAAAGACCAAAACAAACTACTAAAATATTTTAGCAGTGGATTTTTAATACACATTTTGTCTCCAGAATCTTGCTGACAGATTTTAGTTTATATATGCAGCCTAACAAAAGTGGGCTGCTCTGCCCAGCTTATATTCGCAAGTTTAACCGGGAGGCTGTTCGTCCTCCCGTTTCCTTCACTCTAGATTTATGATTTTGCAGTCGAGGGTAGATGATAAGGTTGCACAACACTTGTGCTTTCTAAAACTGTATCGTAAAGATATATTTTGGTCGACTGTGGAAGAGAGGGACTTGGATGCCACAAGTTGGCAGCACCTTGCCACACCATCTGCTAATGACCGAATGGAAAATGACTTCAGAGGGTACTTTGGTTAATTGCATTTATGGAATATTCTCCATCAAACCCCCCCCCCCCCCACCTTGCCTCCCCTCCTGGCCGACTCATGACCCCCACTGCTCGAAATTTAAGCAATTCTTTAAATGTTGAAATGTCGATTTTGCAGTTTCTATTGCCAAGACTTGTTGACATTTACGCAGAATTTAATCCATATTTGAAACCGGTTCACGTTCCAAGTAATACGGTTCCATATTGGGGTGTTTTTTAAAAGGTACGCTAGAGAGAAACATTCCTATATTAATGTGAAGAGAGATCTTTCCACAAATATTTGTAGGGTATGAATAATGTGACACTTGATGTGGATCATTATGTAAGCGAAGGTAGCAAACGTTTTGTCCCCTTCCATGTTTTGAGGAGAGGTATTTGATTGACACTTGCACATGTGAGACCAATGTGTGCTGGCAAAGGAATTAACTTAGGAATGGGCAGCAGCTGCCTCCCACGAACAGCATGCAGCTTGCCACTTGTACGGTTTTCTAATGTAGAAGCAGAGTGCAGTACCTCCATATAATGGAACAAATGTAGTATTTTTCTTGGTAGATACACCACATGAATCCACCTCTCCAGGGTACTTTCTGTACGTGGGAGGCCAAGATGATGAGAAATATTGTTATTTTTAAAATATAAAAAAAAACGTACTACTGATGAGTGGTGCTGCAGTGGTTTGCATATTTGCACTGAATCTGGTGACCTGAGTTTAAATCCTGGTTATGGCTACATTCACCCACCTTCACAATGGCTAAACAGTCCCAATGACCAATGCAAACGACGCGGGGGGGGTGGGGGGGTCATCCACTATTGAACTGATAAAGCCCTGTAATTATATTTTATATGATTAAAATAGAAGTGTGGAAATCGTCTCGATTTACATTCTGGACACATTGCTGTGGACTTTTTGGAAACCACTCTTGTTCGGAAACGGTGGCTAATTTCTAATGTCCGTCCGCATTTGTAGGATTCCCTGCTGGATTACGAGCCTCCTGTGGACCCTGCAATTGTGGCGGCTCAACCCATGGCTCCTGTGGAGCTGCTGGAGGGGTCTACCATGGCATCTGCAGTCGGTGAGTTTTTCCTCCCTTTTTGAGGCCTTTGGGGCAGGGTGTGTCTCCTTGCGTGGCTGCTGGGTCGCAGTTGGGCAGAGAGAGATGTATGAGTGTACGTGCTTGTTGCCTGCGGTTAATTTGGAGTCGCTTAGCAATATTTTCTCAAGTGTGCCACATTTTGGAGCATTCATTAAAATTGTTTGCAGGTGAGCTGTTTGTCAGTGGCCCTTATTAGGAATACCCGACGACGCATGCTGTCAACACAGCAGGTTGTGTGTCAATTGTTTTTTTACCCTTTTATCTGGCAACAAAACTGACACCTTTTTTTTACAAGGAGTCATGTTTGCATTGACCACAATACCTGCAGTCGGAATGCAAACAAAAAAACATAACTCTGATAATGTATGCACTGTCCTTGAAATTGATTGGTCCACACCCGAGACAGCTTTCCTTAGAGCCTAGTCTCACATGGTGTTGAACCAGATGATGCCAAAACGCGCTATCAGAGTTATGTTTTTTGTTTGCATTCCGACTGCAGGTATTGTGGTCAATGCAAACATGACTCCTTGTAAAAAAAAAGGTGTCAGTTTTGTTTCCAGATAAAAGGGTAAAAAAACAATTATCATATTTTGCTACTGGCAAATGAGGTTCCAAACGTTGTGTGTTGTTGCTAAGGGCTGTTTCGGCAGCAGTGTAATGTATACATCGACAATTATAGTACGTTGTTGGCACAGCAGGTAATTTGGGTGTAGTAGTCCAGTGCTGTCTTTGCTGCTGCCGTGTACGTTTCGTGTACAATTGTCTAACTGGGCATATATTTGTCTTTCCAGATAACAGAGTGAATCAGTCTGATATTCCCCAACAGTCTTCTAATCAAGTAAGTACATTTTACTCTTCTGTGGTGTGTTAAAAACTATTGATTGTTCGGCACAATTGGTTGCTTGCTTTAATTTTTATCTTACGATTTTTTTTATCACGAGTTCATTTATTTTGCCTCGTTACGGTTTGGGAAAAGTAAAACAAATATGTGCCATGGTTTGCATCGATTATGAAAACAATGCTTCTAAGCTATCTTTTTTTCTTCTTTTTTTGCTATCTTATATTTACTCCCCTTTTTCCTCCTCCACTTCGTACACATTCTCTGCTGTTCATCTGTAGATGCCCCTCCTATCCGCAGCACAACTCCTTCCTGCCCCCTCTTCCCTTCTGCAGTCTAACCCTGTCCCTAGCTTAGCTGTGCTGGCCACAGATGCTGGTGCCACTGAGCAGCTGGGACAGGTAAGGGAAAGCATCTCTTTCTGGGCCGCATGTGAGGGCAGAGGCACTTTTGGCTGAACGGTTTTGACAACAACAAAAAAATTAATGTTGAGCACATGTTGATGTATGAAATGCACCTATTTTTACGAACGTACACAGCTCTGCTTTATAAACGGGGCTTTTACATATTTCTTGGTGTATTTAAGGAACACGGTAATTTCTGTATTTTGTATTTTATTATCAACTGGCTCTGCTTTATAAAGGGGGCTTTTACATATTTCTTGGTGTATTTAAGGAACACGGTAATTTCTGTATTTTGTATTTTATTATCAACTGGTGATGGAATTCCATATAATTAGAATAGATTGCTCTTTGGCCACAGCTTCCTTTCACTCACCTTTGATTATGAAAATCAAATACTTTTTTGCATCAGTGTAACCAAATTTCCAGTGTCAAACCATCCCTTTCACAGTTGAGTGAGCACATCTGCAGTATTGTCAGTTTCAAATAATGTAGATTGTTGTAATGGTTTGTATCGTTAAAGTTTTTGTATACAGGACTATATCAGCGAACTTTGCTTTTTCGTTTGGAGCAGATGCAGCTTTTAGCTTTGGGTCGTAAAAAGTACAAAGGTCACATGGTGGAGAAAGATCTGTTGGTCTGTATTTTTTCTTGGAGCGCATTATCAGCAAAGTCTGATGCTGTGGATGCTGATTACTAACTAAATTATTTTCTGTTTCTTTGCAAGTTTTTATTTGCCTGCCTAGTGTTTTGGTGACTGAATACCCTGGCAGTGTTCACAATGTGGATCGTTTGATTTTGATTTCTGCAATTTGGCTGCGGATTGCTTTGGGTCATTTACAAAGCACAGAGCAATGCAATAGACAGAAACCTTTTTGACATCCTACCTCAAAGTGGGCCATTGTTTATTGTTTCTTGCAGCCAAACTCAAAAGGTTAAACGATTATCCACAGCTAAACTCCAACTATAAACACCTTTAACAGTACCCTACGAAACTATGCCTATCCAGGCTTGCAATCCTGTAGAGTTGTATATCTCTTAACAGACTCAATAGTTAAACAAAAGACGTGGAATGTTCTGACACATTTTGCTTTGATTTTGCCATTGGCTTTGCCCACAGATTCCCATGGTTTGTACAGCGGTGAGTGAAGCGTACATTCCCGCACAACCGCTCTACCAGAGTGCACCACACATCCCCGACGCCCTGCCTCAGCAGCCCACCATCGACCCTACACAGGTAACGCTTTGCTCGACTCCCCCCCCCTCTCTGCTGGTGTGTCTACGAAATATTCGGCATGTAACAAAACAAAGACAGATCCCCCGCATAGCCTTAACAGACTTGGGGCAAGTGCTATTAGTAAGCACCTATGAAGGCCAGCACGGCGCACGTGGGAATGGGTCGCCATCACCTTGCCCCCGACCACCTTTGTCTCTCCAGTGGCAATATTTACACACAGCACCAGACACTCATTTGAGGCTGAGTCGACCTAGGGGAGGCCCAGGTCTGGTTCAAATAATGGTCACTGGTGTTGGCCGTGAGCGGGAATCGAACTCGGGTCGCCGGGTTTGTAGCACGGCGCACTAACTGCTACACTACCGCTTCCTATTAGGCATGTAACGATCGCCCCCCCATGATTCCATGATTAGATAAATAGTTACATTGCAGAGTCATGATTTCACTGGAGATTTTTTTTTGTTCTGTGTCTACTATCTATTTTTTTATTTGTCTTTTCTGCCTCAGTTGTATCCTCAGTCCAAATTTAACATTTGTCTGACAAAATCACCAAGAATGTCCGATATCATATTTGATCCATCTTATACATCATGTGTGCTTATGTCACTCATTACCCTGTGGTTGTTTTTTTATGAACGCTTGGTTGTGAATGTTTCACCCCTTACAAATGTACATTTTGACCTTGTTATACAAATTATATCTTTTGCCTCGTAGTTTCACTTCCAGAAAATGAAGTTCGTAGCTTTTTGAGTCCTAAAAAAATGTAGTTTTTAAAAGTTAAACACACTGTAAAACGGTGTTTATTTCACACGCATCCATAGTGTTTGCTGCGCGTAGCGGTATTTGTTTTATATACAGATTGTGCATTGGCGATACCAGTTATTGCCTCTTTTTATAACCTTGCGTATGTATGCGTGTGTCCGTGCCCTCAGTGCTTGCCTCTCGCTTCCGAGCAGATCCCAGTGGTGGGAAAGCCGTTGAGCAGTGGTGGAATTAACGTCAATGCTGCACCCTTCCAATCGATGCAGACGGTACGAACCCTGGCTTATCACCAAGCCCCCCCCCCTCTTTCTTTATATTCGGGTTGCCAGTACTTCAGAGAAAAATATATGTTTACGTTATAAAAGTAAATCTCTGTAGTCTCATTAAGCCATGGAATTGGGGGAGAAAAGTCCGTCGATTGGGGATAAAACTACGTTTAAAGTTTTGCCAATTTCTGGACACGCATGTGTTGATTCCAGTTATGAAAAGCTTTGCTTGTCCTTTAAACATGGATATTGGACATATTTAGTTATGATTGCTTTTCGGTGTAACGTGCTTTTCTACCGTAGCAATAAGTCCCCAGAAATCCCTAGATTGTTAACAAAAATCCCTGTGGGTTCTCCTTATTCCAAAGAGCACCTGAAAGTGCTCAGAATGGAAATAAAAATCCTTAATCTGGCAGCGCTGCCCCGTACGAGCACGCAACGTGGAGAAAATTTGGCTGAAAGTTGCAATGTCTGCAGCCAGCAGGGTTTAACGTGGTATTTCTGAGGTTTAATGTGCTTTTAAGTTGTATTTTCACAACTTGATTTAGAATTTTCTCCGGTCATGGGAGTTTAGTGCAGTGTTATGTTTTCATCTGTATGCCGCTGAAGCATCCATTTAAAATTTTACAGTTGCATTGCCTTAAGTCTCATGTGATTCCTTATTTTTTATTTTATAGAATCCACTTATTTGTGCATTGCAGTCCATTAACTCACGGATGGGCTTTATAGTATAAATACCTGCACATTAAAAAATGAAGTGAAATTAAGCATTGGTTACCCCCACTCCAAGGGATGCCTGGGGCCGTACTGCTTCCCTATTATGCATCCCTAAGACAACTGTGGAATTTCCACATTCACATGACGGGGCGAGTCAATCCACAGGAATGGCCGCTGTCAACGTCCCACAGATCGGCATTCATTTAATTGACTCCGGAGGCATGATAGATTGATTGGACTCCCCTATATGGGAGATTTCACCTTGCTACTTTTTCGATTGTCAGCCACATGTTCTAACAATATAGCATCCGACCAGGTACAGTAGAAGCTGTATATAAGCACAGTTCGTATTTAAGCAACACATGTTTATATAAGAGCAACATCTGATACAAGCACACAGCTGATCGTGCTCCAAATCAGGTGTTTGTTTATACCGCTATCCTCTTGTATTTGAACTGCAAACACGCTGTACAGAATATAAATTCATCGCAATAATAGAATCTCCTCTGCATGTGTAGGCGTACGCTGTGTGTGTTACGCCACACCATGACCTAGCTTTTGCAATCTCCTCTTCAGGTTTTTAATGTGAACGCCCCACTGCCGCCTGAGACGGAAGTGATCAAGCAGCAGCTGCCACCGTCGCAGCCCCCATACAGCACCGCCAGCTACAGCACGCAGCCCCAGACCCACCCGCTGTCCCAGCCAGGAGCCTTGGCACAGCTGACATTGGAGACAGATGCCTTCCAAACTGGTAACATGAAAGGAGCATGCCCTTGCCAGCTCCCTGCAATGACAGATACACACTCCCACATTTCACAGAACAAACCCCATTTTTCTCAATCCTTCGAAACACACTTGCACTACATGTGTAATTATAATGGCCGTGCAAGCACTGAAATAAAACTTGCGTAGGCTCATTGCTCCTTTCCACAGTACCCAGTTGTGTAGTGTGTGTGTCGGTGAAAAGTTTTAAGTTATCGATTAAACCAAGTCCTAAAGATTGGTAACTGAACATAGTGAAAACGTTTTAAGTAATCGATGAAACCAAGTCGTAAAGATTGATAACTAAACAGTCTGGTAAGTAGCAGTTTTACGAAATTATTAATTTTGTCTACATTGAAGACTAAAACATTTTAAAGGATACATTCTAAGCCTGGGATTTAGTTAAAATTTTTCTTGAATGGTTCAGTGACGTAAACACGGTCTGCTTTGAATGCATTGCATATATTATAGTCGCGCTTGTTTAATCGGACGGGAACATTTGTCCACCCAAGGTCTTGTGAGAGACTTAACTCTTTTGTTCATCAACCTCCCCCTGCCCACCCCCCCCCCCCACCACAGTGGTGAGTAGCAGCTACCAGGCGCCCCAGGAGACCCTCTCGACGTCGGCCGGCCAGCCCCAGGGAGGCGTGGGTGGGGGGGGCGGCTTCTCCAGGCAGGCACAGACCTTCTACAACAGCCGAGGGATGCCCAGGGGCACCGCGCGGGGCATGCGCAGCACCACCAACGGGTACCGATCGTCCAACAACTATCGGGGCGCCCGCGGAGGCCCCTTCAACGGTAAGCGGAGCGGCTCGCCGCTTCTGCCCGTGGCTGGACCGTGGTCGTTTTTTTACCCTTTTTATCTGGCAACAAAACTGACACCCCTTTTTACAAGGAGTCATGTTTGCATAGACCACAATACCTGCAGTCATAATGCAAACAAAAAACACAACTCTGATAATGATATGCACTGTCCTTGAAGTTGATTGGTCCACACCCGAGACAGCTTTCCTTAGAGCCTAGTCTCACATGGTGTTGGACCAGATGACGCCAAAAGGCGCACAACTCAAAGTCAATGCACCATCAGAGTATGAGAGCTCGGGGTATTGGCAAATGAGGTTCCAATGGTGGTCAGTGGTTTTTATAAAATTACTCAGTTGGGGTCATGCATTGCAATCATCGGGCCCTGACTGGCAAACCTGAGGACGGCTGCTTGCGTTGTGGCCGAAACGTCGTGAGAATTGTTTTATTATGTTTTATTTTTATTATTTTATTACTTCCCTTCTACGTGACTTTACCGAAAGAACCAAGAAGATGAATCCCTGCAGTCACCAAAGCTTTAAATCGAAACTTCGTTTTATTTCTCTCGTTTTACCTTTATGTTTGTATGCCTTTCGGTTTTTCTTAATTTCACAGTTATTATTGCTTCCGTTGTTTTAAATGCAACAACTTTAGCCTATCATTCGTGCATACTTTTTGCTTGCATTGTAATGAATTATTTCTTTCGGACACAAATCGTATACGTTTCATGAGCGTAAGGATAGATATTGATGAACCGGTGCGTAGAAACATGCCTAATTTACACACACACACGTGCGCACATGGTGGTTGTGTAGTCTAACTTGCCTGGCTGTAGATTTGTCAGGTGGCATCAACTGTTTTGAATTACTGATTACCGGTTTGCAGTGGCTATAATGCACTCTTCCTTTTGGTGAACGTCTTATAGGGAGGGAGTAAACAATGGCAGTTTTTCAGGTTATAATATAAAAAAATATTAAAATATCTATGAAGAAACCGTGCATTTGTACAGTCCCACATTTAATCCACGTGTCTTACAAATTGTAGCATTCTGAAATGTCTTCTTTCTGGTCGCCAGGTGCCAATTACGAAGGATTCCACGTTGGCTATCCAGGATCGGCAAACAATTACGGACAAAACTCCTTCGCCCCTCGCAACTACAGCATGGGCTTCCACCAGCAGGTAAGTAATATTGATCATAACTTGCACCGCATGATAATTTACCACAATAACTTGTCTGACTGCAAGCAAGAGGTAAATCAATGCATGGTAAAGTCTTCTCCTTGGTTACAAGTTCTTTATGGTGAGGTCAGCATGGGAAAATATGAATTGTTGCAGCTGTGCAGTGACAAATTAATGAACATTGCCGATGACCAAATCACCTCCCAATTAGCACGGTTGGCTATGTACATTGCGAAATAAGTTCAACATGTATACGAAAGCACCTGATCTCATATCTCGGGAGCTCGGCAGGGTTGAGTCTCGATAGTGCTTTAATGGGAAACAAACGGGCAAGCTGTCATCGTTGATAGTCGTACTTTATTCAGGCATGAACTTTGTGTGACTTTGTCAACAGTTGTTACACGAGTCGCCTACCTTTCCACCCAGTTGATGGAGACGGGGTGGAAGGTGAGCGACTTGAGCAACAGCTCGTGATGAAGTCACTCATATCGGCCATACCCGAATAAAGTTGGAATACGATTTACAATCAGTGCTGTTGAAACCTTAAGCCTAGGTTGTTATTATGGCTGCAGCACCACGTTGAGAGGGCAGTGCAACAGAAGTCATCGTTCTGTGCACCAACGTCTATGCTACCCACCTTCACAATCCTGGGCTGATCAGCACAGTGAAGTATTGTAAAAGTAAACCCCCATGACCCGTACGGTGTGTGGGGGGGAAGGCACTCGTCCAGAAATGGATTGACACGTGTGTTTACATGATGTTACCTGGAAGACTTTTGAAGGCAAGTAATAGGGGCCTACGTGTTTGGGGGGCGGGGGGGGGGGGCGCTGTCGGCGCATTTAAAGGAGTTGAGTCCTTGAGTGCAGTGGAGGGTGGCCATCATTGACCTACCAAAATAATATTCTTGGTTCTTTCGGTAAAGTCACGTAGAAGGGAAGTAATAAAATGATAAAAATAAAACATAATAAAATAATTCTCATGACGTTTCGGCCACAACGCAAGACAGACCTGGTCTTCACCTGAGGACGGCTGCTTGCGTTGTGGCCAAAACGTCATGAGAATTTTTTATTATGTTTTATTTTTATTATTTTATTAATTCCCTTCTACGTGACTTTACCGAAAAAACCAAGAAGATGAATCCCTGCAGTCATGAAAGCTTTAAATCGAAATGTACCAAAATAAGTGTTGAAAGGGGATTCATGTATTTGTGAAAACTATTACAAGCGACAGTAAAGGTATTTTCCTAAAAAATGGCACCGTGCTTATATCTTTCAGGAGGGAGGCTACCAGACGGGCTACAAGCGTGGCGGCACGGGACCAGCAGGGCCTCGTGGTGCGCCCAGGGGCGGAGGTAACTAAACCCTCTGGCTGGAGGAGACCCTCCTGATCCACGGTGTGGGTGGGAGGGGGATGGTGGGGGGTGGGCGCTTGCTTCACCGGGGCAGCTGTACGTGTACGTACACGCGTGCCGAGCGTCTTTGAGAAATACAGTCGGGTTAAAACGGACGCTTGAAACGAAAACGACACACTTGGGTTAATGTTCTCGTCGGTCTTTTAGCAAAAAGTTTTTGAAGCCATCCTGGGAAAGGTTAATCGTGCGATCACACAGTGGTGCACAACATACAATGTAAAACATGTTGATTGAGGCTTCTGTGCGATCGCACACTGTTATACCACTCGGGTAGTCGCTGTCGATGTTGGCAATTCGTTAAGTGTCCATGGCTGTTAAGCATCGTTAACATGCATTCCTCAAATGATTGTGCCTGATGGGATGACCTATTAGTTTAAATGTTGACTATCGTGTGTAGTTTTCGGATGGCTCTGTTTCAACTCTGTTGTCATTTTCCCCAACATCAAATAAAACATCAGTATAGTTACTTGGAATTTACCTTTTCAGACATCGCCTTTCTTAAGTGTATAGACAGACATAGGCCATACGTAGAGTATTGTTAAGTGCACAGACACATGCCCCACACCAAATCACTGCATGGATGATACTGCAATATACTGAACTTGAAATCTATTATTTGTACCGCATACATGGAGAGCTTCATGATACAGTTGTGTATACAATGTCATACCAAAATGTGAATTCATACTTGCTATGGGCCTTGTTAAAATGACACTGTTTGGCACTGTGATTTTGGTTTTCTTATGCACCTTGACATGATTTTACACGCTGAACGTTGCACAAGCAATCACTAAATTTAACTCAAACTGCTATGGAATACAAGATTGCCTTTTGGTAAATAGTATGGTATTTTGTACTTGTGGTGATGGTAATTGTGTCTATACACTTGAGATAACCATACAGTAAGTAGTATCTCAGACACTAGGTATCTTGTTTCCCTTGTTATACATTGTCTTGTGTACCAGCTTAGGTGGCAACTTATTTTGTACCTGAAGGAAGGATGTATGACTTTGTTTCCCTTGACCTGTCACACACTCAGTTATTGCATTTTGGTTATGTTGTTTTCCAACGAGAAATCTTGTACATGTAATTTAAATTTTCTCAAGTCTTGGGAACATCCCAAGTATTTTGCCACTGCTTGACATTTTAAGGTTTAAAATGACCATGTCTGAAATCTGTACCTTGGTTTTAATCATTTTGCATTATATTCATGGAGCTTTTTCCCTGAACTGCTAATCTTCACTTCAATTGCCTCTTGTTCAAATAAAGTTCTTTTTAGTGCAGATGTCTGTTGCTAGCATTTTTATTTCTGTCCTACATTTCATGTTCAGCTCTGGTGGAGGACTTTCTAATCCCTTGCCAGCATGACCTTTGTCTTGGTTGAAAAGAAAAAGGTCAGTTGACAGACCGATGATAAACATAATACACTTTAGTGAATTCAAAAGTTAATTGGTTCAGAAATATGCACATTGGAATCAAATTGGTTGAACGTATTGTGTTTTTGTAGTTGCCCTCGTTTGTTTGCACAGTATTGTTTGACTGTAGGGTTTTGTAAATGGAACTAAACGGGATATGCTAACTACATGCTGGTATTGCCAGCGCGGAGAAAGCAGCGGGGAGTTTGCTAGAACTGTGCTGCTGATAAGAAACCATCGTAGAAGCAGGACTGTGACTGGAAAGTATCAGGAGATGGGGAAGAGGTGGCAGTAAGACATGACCGCAGGCATAGGACATTATCTACATAAGCAGCGAGGAAGAAAGCACGGAGATACTATGGAACACATTTTTAAAATGACACAATTTGCACTCACCATTGGCGTTTCCTAATGTTTTTTCACAGTATACAGCCGTGTTTGGATTTATCGAGTCTTAGCAAGTAACATTTAATGCGCGTTGCCATTAATAGCAAAACCGTGAGAGCAATGCTTCAGTTAGTATAATTTGCTTACAAAAAATCGATGCATTCTCCATTTATCGGCAAAATTTTGTAAAGCTTCTCGTGACGCATGCGAATGGCGGGGCTTTGGTCATCGCGAGTCTCGCTAACAGGCTTTATCTCTGTGTGCGCTGGCAGGCCGTGGCACTTCTCCTCTCATGAAGCCGCGCTTTAAGAGTCCCATGACCAGCTCGATGACAGCTCAGTCCGTCGAGTAGATGCTCATCCCATGCAACTCCCACTCTGTGTGACCCAGCTTGCCCGGACCCTCTCCCCTTCCTCCCCCCCCCCCCCCCCCCCCCAGGTTTAGAGCCCACTTAGGTTTTTATTTCCATGCCATCGCTCGGTTTCTGTAACGCGGAAAAGTAGAAACCTCCTTAGGTAACCATTATAACAACTAAGTGTTTGTTACTCTTTAAGGCAAGAAGCAAGGACCTTTTTTCTTCGAACGCTTGATGAGAAAAAGAATATGAACGAGCAGGACTGCTTATTATGGATCAGCCACTCCTAGTTTTAACTAAAGCAAAGTGACGAACATTGAAGTTGATAAGGAAACCACTGTTTAAAAAAAATACATATAAAAAACGAATAAAAAATGAAAAATCTCAAAAAAAATTGCAAGGTTTAAAGTGAACGCATTTTATGGTCTTGAAAAATAGTCTTCCCTAGCTTTGTTCTCACCCCCTTCTAACATTTTAAATATCTGAGCACAGCTTGTGCATGATGTCCAGAAGCGGGCCACCCTTTGTAACGCACTATTCTCCACAGTAACTATTCCCCACTGTTGCGCTGTTTATTCACCATTAAAAGTTCACTGAAACGTAAATGCGCGTGTTGTGCGTGCCTTTTTGTCTGAGCGTGTGGTTTCACAAGCTGTGCAGTCTCGATCACTGTCATAAATTTCGTTGACTTTGTGCTGTTTCGGAGTAGAGTGCGAATAGGTATATCACGAACATTACAGTAATGTTAAAATACAGGCAGTGGATATCCACATTTGCATATCCTATGAACATTACATTTTAAAATGTTTCAACAATTTTTTTTCTAAATTTGAAGTTTTAGTGACTGCAAGGATCCATATAATCTTTGTTTTTTTCGGTAAAATGTTTCGTCTTTTAAAAACTCTTAACAGATAAGTGAAATTCCTTCCCGTATAGGGTATTAATTCTAGATTTGAAGTTTTTTTTTTTCCCCAATAGTTTGAAATTGGACGACATGGTGACTACAACATGACTGATAGTCGTTAGTGCTTGGCACGTCTTCTGATGCCTAGAATTGAATTGGGGCTATTTTCTCGGCAGGACCATTAACAGTGAATAACTAGCAACGTATTTGAGTTTATGAACGTTAGAACAACACTGCACAGAACCGAAACCAGTTTTGAATTTTTGTCTCGTCTTCCTAAGCAGTATAAACTTGTTTTTATCCTTACTGTCACTTCACGGTCCACCGCATCGCGTGCTTTGATATGCGCTTCTGTGGCCGTCTGGAGCGTTCTTCATTCTGATATTAGGAAGCCACTGGAGCTAAGCACTTTTAAATCTAGATTGAAAACTCATTTCTGTAGAATAACTTTCTGTGTTTAGGTGTCCTTCCGCCACATCTCCGATTTAGCACGGTTGCCTGCGTACAGCGCGAAAGAACTTCGACATAGACTGGATAAGATGCGAGGAACCGCAGGCAAGCTGGAAGGTAGCCAGCCAGGTTGTGAACCAGCACCAAGAATTTCTCAAGCCTCCAGTGTCCCTTTAGAGGTGGGGAACGTCCGGGCCGTTTTAAGGCCAGGGTGCTTCAAAAAAACGTTAACACTTCTGAGAATTTGCAACAATACCACGAGAAATGTGGCTCTGGGGACCAGCTGGAGAAGATTCCAGGCACGTGTTGACGATGGCGAACAAGTCTAGACTGACTTTTTGAAGCTATGAACATACATTAGTTTACAGTGTAATCGTTCTTTTTTCATAAAAAATGATAGTCCCATATGAGTGTTGACATTATTTTGAAGCACCATGCGTGTGAACGTGTATTCCAGCCTATTAATGAGTGTTAATACACGTGGGAGGAAACTGGAGCCACCCACGCGTGCTAGGGGGACAACACCAGCCCACACAGATGGAGTCTGTAGTTTATCGCCGCATGGCAATCCCAAGGTATGGCAACTTCAACACCCGCAGGAAGGGAGTTTTAACAAAATCTCCGCGATTCGCTAATCCTCATTGCCTCCGCAGTGCCGGAACCGACAGGCGTGCACGACCACCGCCCAACTAAATTAGTGCTTGAAGAATGTGTCCTGTTTCGTGGAGATCAACGGCACAAGGGGAGACGTGAAGAGGAGAGTCCTGGTTGAATCATGACATGACTGGTGATTTATTTTTACGACTTTTAGCGTGGGAGAGTTGCACAAAACCTCAACACGAGCAATGAAAACAAGGTAAAAGTTAAAATGGCTCCATATAAATATACGGACTAGTTCTCGTTAGAATTTTTTGTAGTTTTTACATATTGGACTGAAAATACTGAACAGCGTTTGAGCAATAAGCTGCACGCAGTCACGGTCCATCAGTCATGCTCCAAAGCTGTTGCCAAGTCCAGATGACCTGACTTTTTTTGCCTCGCTTTTCTCAACGTTTGGCTCTGGTCATGCGGTGCATCGTACAAAGTTAGTGTAGGGGGGGGGGGCATACATGTGGGAATATAGTAGAGTACAACGCTTTATTTTCCTCCTGCGCTACCCTCGGACGATCGCCTATCTCAGAACTCTCCAGGCTTAAACCTTCGTAGTTCCTGGCGAAACGTCGAACTCAGATTGTAAATGTTGTGGCTTGGCTCTCCAACACACCGGTGTGCTGTACTAGTGACGAATTGGCACGTTCTGTTTACGTGAGGAACCTTACTAGTTGGCTGTGTCGGGTGGTGGCGGGTTTAACGACGCAATTATACAGGTAGGAACAACAGGTTTCACACTGCCCACCAGGGATTATTTGTCTGTTGTGCACGAATGCGCTGTCCAACCAAGTTCCTTCCTGCCCACTCCGAAGGAACGTGTTCTATTTACGCGATCTAACCCCAAAAAAAAACTTATGGATGATATTGTTCGCGAAAGCCTCCGTGTTAAACCTTCACAGCTTAGCAGACGTGATGAGATCGGGTGTATTGTGCGTGTGTTTATTTCAAATTGAAAAATCATTCGCTAACTATTAATGAGTGATATGCTGCGGGAACGTCACTGCCATCAGCCACATTTCCCGAGCCGAGAAGAGCATGGTGGAAAGATTTAATCAATCTTCAACCTATATATTCTTGCTGTGGATTTCACACCTGATGATGATTGCTTGTCTTGCAGTCGAAACGTCGTGAGAATTTGTATTGTTTTATGTTCGTATTATTTTATTATTTCCCTTTTACGTCACTTTACCGAAAGAACCAAGAATATGAATCCCTGCAGTCACGAAAGCTTTAAATCAAAATCTTCAACCTTTTTCGCTCGTTGCTTGCAATTGCTCGTTGGCACCACGTGGTGGAGTGTTGCAACGCGTTGGGGGGAGTGGGGGGATCGTTATCACTGAGCCCAAGTCCTCAATCTTCCTTTTCTTCATCTTACGTGATGGCTGCTGCTGTAGATGCAGAGCATCAACTTCAAAATCACATTCAGGTGCTCAAGGCCAGACAACCGCGTCAGGAGCCAGCGGAGTGGTGCGTCGCTTGCGACGTCTCCTTCGGATTTGCATCGTTACGCGCTGCGTGTTGTTTTCCCCGCACCTCCGAAGATGATGGCAAATCATACGAATGGCTGTTTACAACGTGGGAGGAAACCTGAGCGCCTGGAGAAAATCTCACCACGCGTGCGGGGGGGGGAGGACTCACCGATCGATCCCTAAACAGTTTCGCTGTGACCGCCTTCTCCTGGCTTGCCAGGGGGCACGGCTTCCTCTCGACGCCCATGGGGAAGGAATATCCCAAAGTCTGTGCGGTGATCCATCAACTCCTCGTTGCTGCCTCCGCGGTGGCTGGATTACAGGCGTGCGTGTCACCACCGCCCGGTTATTATATAAAGACACTAAACCTTGAATGATTAAAGTTACAAAGTCACTGCTCAACGATGCACGAACGATATTTGGCATGCACTAAAAAATGTTACTCTGCGTATAAAACAAAAATTATTTGAGCTTTGTGATGATACCGGAGTAACTGGAGAAAAATTCACGCGACCACGGGGAGAGAGACATTCAAGCTCCAAATATACAGGCGCTAGGTTCGGGAGAAGGAAACGGAATTATCAGTAGAAGGCTTAAGGTGGGTTCACGCTGGATCACTCTTAACGCACGTAACGTAACCTATAGATGAAGTCCAGGCATCCACCACATCCTATTGCTCCCTACCTCCTCTCATCAACTCAATAACCCAGAGTAGGTTCGTAATTGATGGCGGCAGATCTGGGGAGGCCTGTATCCAGCAATGGATTAATCATGGTCGATGATGAAAATTAAATTCCAAGACAATATTTTCTTCCACGTATCCTTAACATCAGGTCTTGTGCAGTGCCATGAGCGTGAAGATGCCCTCACTTCTGTTTTAAGTCACTCATCAAATTTAAATCGCAAGAATTCTTCAACGGGAGCTGCTTGAAAAATTCGAGGCTTTGCCTACCCTCATTGTCACCCCGTGATTCATTGGCTGCCGGTCGTTAAGGTCAAACCTCGCGATTGGCGTCCATATCTATTCCACAGTCTGCCGAGGTCAAATCAATATTGTGCAGTCGACTGTAATTAAGTTCAACACAATGCTGATGCCAAGTTCTTGGCACAAATCGATTCCTGACACTGGAACATAGATCCCAAATCCTGGACTGTCCGGGTCAAACCTGGACAGATGGAAACCCGACTAAGCACAATGGCCATTATGTTCCGTTATGCGTGATCAACGATTCCGTTTGAACCACGGCCTAGGCTAGGTTCACACCCGAACCATCAGTTGCGAAACTTGGTTGCATGCAACCGAATTGCTCCAGCTGCACACCCGGTTTCTTATCGTAGAGGCGCACTCTACTTGCATTAATCGATCTGCTCGGCGATGTTGTTGTGCAACTGATCTGCTCGGGTGTGGACCTGGCTCTACAATTGGTGATGATGGAGGCAGGGTAAGGCATTTTCAGATGCGAACATACTGGCACGTATTTTTTTAAATACTGGGCAAATGTTAACTTTTAAAAGGAGAAAATGTGCAGATTTAAAAATATAAAACGAAAGTGGCCAGGTATCTCAGCTAACCGTCATTCAGCCGAGTTGTCAAATGCAGCAATGACTGAACATCTTTGGGTTTGTGTTCAATGATGGTAAATTCCGGCTCTGCGAATTACGATGTTAGTTTAAATTGTCATGCGATAACCTCATAGCAGACTGTATGGGGTGGGGGGTGGGGGAAGTGCAACCCGATTATTTAAAGGAAACTAGGCCCACTTGTAGGATTTTTCCAATGAAATAAATCTCCCAGTTGTATTCTGATACATGGGGCAATCCACTGTTTTGACAGATTTCCTTATGGGTTCGTTGTCGTAAGACATTATGCCAATAGCACAACGAGAATAGATCGGAGAGAAAGATAAACACCCAAGAATAATAACAAATAATTAACGTGCTTACCCTTTTACTCTTGGAGAAGAAAATACAAACTTGTAACTCAAAAATTTGTAATTGAAATTTGAATAATTATCTTGTTTTTTTATTTGAAAGCCAATATTGTAAAATGTTTACTATAGAAATGTTTCTCTGAGTCGATATTCTAAAAATCCAGATGTAAACCTTTTAATAGGTTAAGGTGCCGGCCCCTGCAGTATCTGTTCAGACCACTGCTAGGTCAACAGCTTCCAAAAATAGGGTGAGAGCCTCGGAGGAACTCCAAGGTAGCCACACTTTCCCCCACTTCACGCAACCTGCAAGCCGAGTGACAATCGAAAAGGTTCAACGGTAATAATCCAGCCAAGACGACGTGAGACAAAACATTTATTTTTCTGTTACAGGAACGTTTTGCTAATTGCTACAGATGAAAGTTACAAACGGCAGTTCAGGTTAGGCTAGATGCTTTTTACAGGTATACGACAGAGATATAGTGTTAACATGTTTGCCACTTTTTACCATAGGTAACAGTCATCTTATAAGTAAATGAGCAGGAGCTTAAAGATTTTTTTTTGGTCACTTATGTTCTTTCAATAATGTTAAGACGACGCTGTACTTTTTCAGCCTTGCCGAAATGAAGGCGCTTTTCCGAAACAAAATGTTTAAACCCTATAAGTTGGTTACGATGCAGTAGAATATTATGAAAACGACAGAACAAATATATTTGCTATATTATAGAGGTACATAAAAAGTGGCTATTTATTATAATACAAAAACTATGTCAAAACTGTACCATAAAATGCAAGGCATGGTCGAAAAAGAATTGATAGCATTTTATTATAATGCAGAGACGAAGACTATGAACCAAAACATAGTAATATAGATTGGCTTAACAGATTCACGTCCATATCTTCTTACCTGACGCTACTGAGGTGCAAACACAACTGGAATTTTTTGCCATCGTACCAATGGGTCGGCGACATGCCAATGAAAGTACCTTTCGTGTTAATCCGTCAAGCTTCAGAATGCTCATCTACGCATACTCGGGATTTTGTTGTAACCTAGCAGAAAAGTACTATTGATGTACCGCAGGAATATTGATATACTGTATTGGACATGCATGATTACATTGTGGTTATTTTTTTTTCTCTCGTCCTTTATTTTCTGCCCACAGCTCCAGTAACGTCTCTTCCCTCGGTGAATTTACAAATGTGGTGACGTTCCGTGTGGTTGTACGGGGGGTGGTGGGGGGTTGGATGCCTCGCTTCGCCTCTTCAGATGTACATCCCTTTTGGAAAATCGTCACCGTGTGCATGAACGATAACCATCCCGATCCGTCTCGGAACAATGATAACTCGCAGTACAATTACAGTTTGCCGCTGGCGAGGTAAGAAAATAAAATAAAAACATACCAGGACACATCGTGGGAGGAAGTATTTAGAACAGCGGTCAGTAACCTGCAGCTCCGATAGCCGCATGCGGCTCTTTAAGAGGGCTGCCTCGTGTAACGTTATTCACGTTGGGATTTCGGCTCTGGAAATATTGACGTTTTCTTTTAGCCAATTCGAATTCATGTGCCCCTTCTTATTTTGGTTGACGACATCCTGATTTAGAATAACGTCTTGAGTTATCTGTATTATTACGTAACCGACAAAAAAATCGAGCCTCAATGTCCTGGGAAGACTTGCATATTTTCCCAGGATTGCCACCTCAGCAAGAGGATGATCCTGGGAATATCAAAGCAGGTGGCAAACTCTTTGTACAAGTGACTTAAATGCTCAGAATAGAACGTGGTGAACACCACGGCAACTGCGTTTATATAATTTACTTGCTGCATGTCATCCTAAATAATTGTAAAATGTATCGATTTCATGAGCAGAAAATGAACGAATAGGGTTCCCACCACACAGTAAATTCAAGGATGAACTAAATATACCACTGATATTTAAGTTACAACGTTTTGGTGAAGGATCTCATAACCTTTTTTTCTTTTTTTTAGTTTTTTTTTACACAATATACATGTTTTGGTTAAAGCATATACGATTATAAAGCAGCAACTGCTGACGATAATAAAATAATGTACACATTTTTTTTAAGTCAAAGGCCTAACAATGTGTTTCAGCCATCAACTCACAGTCGGTTAGTTGCCACGCCACACGCTAATTTGTGTTAATGTGTCAACTTCATTTTGTACAGTTTGTACCGACAATACCACAATCCTGTGTGTGAGCTCTCCTGCATTTTCTTAAGGGCTGCTTATCAACGGACGCTTTTTATGTGTTTAACCACACTTTCTTTCTTATATATATTTTTTGTTGCCAAGACGACAGGTTTGGTTGCTTGTGAACAAATAATGCAACATATTTTTTGCTCATTTATTTATGCGACTTTTTTTTTTCTCACGAGGTTAGAAGACTTGGAATTCACATTTTCAAGTGCAATTTTCTACATCTCTTTTATTCGTTTTCAGGCATCACATTTCACTTTGGTATCAGTTCCAAAAAATTGTGGCCAGGTTCTTTAAGTAGTCTCCCCCATCCATCCACCCACCCAAACCCTACACCCTCCCAACACCCCCCCCCCCCCGCCTTTCCAACACACAGCATTCCGTTAATAAGCCGTGTATAATAAGCAATCAACACAAATTCAGCTTTATAACCCATCTAGTCTAGTAATATAATCCACAGAGCCTCTGTTTAATGTCCATAAATACAATAGTGATCTTGCAAGCTGATGATATGAACCACTTGCTGGGGGGAAAAAAAGTCTAACCTTTTGTATACAAAATACAGTAGTGCATATATAACAAGCAAGAGTGCCTTTCTGTCCATGCAAGAAAATCTTCTGGGATTTTTCTTAGAAATATTTTCCAGAAGACTCGTTGCTGTACGCACAAAGGTTTCTATTCACACGGTCCTTTTACAGATTTTCCATTTAGCCGTTTTTTAATCTTAGTTTTCTTCTTCTTCTTATTGTTTCTTTTAAAACACTGGACTTTCTTGGGACGTCTTCGGGCGAACACTTGCATAACAAGGCCAAGAGAGTTCTACGAAGTGTTAACAAATGCACAGCAGCAGCCGCCGTTAGCCGGGCAAGAGAGGGAGAGCCGTTTTCTGCCTCGGGTGAACTTGACGAAGCTCTAGTTAGGTGTCGAAGCACTGCTCGAGTTAGAAGACAAAGAGTCAAAATCCGCTCAGGACGTAGGTGTGTGTGGGGGTAACAGGGGGGGGGGGGTGGTGGGGGCGGTTCACACCCCCCCCCCGAACCCCCCCACCCCGAACCCATCATTAGCACGCGTAGCTTCATCCGGCGAGCAGAAGGCAAGGGTTGTTCCAGCTGTCACTCAAGAGAGAAGGTGCAGTTTTCCCTTGCGGCTGCCGGCACGTTATTTGTAGGGCCTCAGGAACCGCGACACTTTGGAGTGCAGGAACTTAATGAAGGACTGCGGGAACATCTTTTTGGAGTCCGCCTTCGTGTATTTGAAGTAGTTCTGCGGGTGTGCCAGCACTTCGAACAGAATCTTGATCAAATTTTTATCCTGCGGGCGAGAGGGGGACAACGGCGCGTTAAATCCGTCGCGGCGCAGGCACACGCAAACGCCTCTGATGCCGGTCTCCGTTATCTGTACTAACGATTAACCGTGCACTCGAAGCGAGCCTATGCACTACAGTCGTTATGTATTGTCGGATCCTTCATGCGGATAAGGTGAAGTGACCATATTTACCAAGCGCATCCACACTTCACCATGTCGATAAAAGGAGTAAAATATGCGGACAAATATTTGGACAATAGCATCCGGTCATTGTGCCCTCCACAGAGAATCATATTGGGAGTTTTTAATGTATGGCCCTTTGTCAATTCCCTACTGAAGGCTTATTAGGTTATGGGGGTCGTTTATCCATACTTCACCACGCTGACCAGTGTGGTTTTGTGAATGAGAGGTGAGGGGGGGGGCAGGACCAGTTCGGATATCGTTTTTAAATATCCGTCTTGATTATTTTGCTGCTATAAATTTGAACATGATGAGCCACTTTGTTGACCTATCATTTGTGGCTGGGTCGATTCTGAAAAATAAATTAATAGTTGAGTGGGCTTTACCTGGTAAGATACAAAATATCTTATATTTATACTCTTAGGTTTTTTCGGTAAAGTCACGTAGGTAAAAAATAATACCGTCACAGCTAAATTTACTGTAAATTTAGCTGTGACGGTCCCACCTGAAGACAGAGACTTGTGTTGCCTCTGAAACGTCGTGATTTATTATCATTTTATATTTTTTTACCTACGTGACTTTACCGAAAAAACCTAAGAGTATGATCCCTGCACTCACGAAAGCTTCAAATCTAGAATCTTAATTTTATTTGGATATATTTTTAAGTGATTTGTATCCCTTTCCAATAAATTGCACTCATATCGTGTTTTCGTACCGTTTGCTGTTGTAACATTCTGATCCCGTGCCCCTACTGGACACCTGTGAAAAATAACTTTATAGCTCATCGGATTCCACCAGAATAAATAAATGTTCTGATTCTGGATATCACTCCCCACGTGTATGAGCCATCACGACGAGGTGGAGTCAAACACTTGCCTAGAGGACTTTTTTTAGGCCTAACTATGGGCTTTCCTCCTCATGACTCTATTGTGCTCTATGTTGTGCAAATGCATCCTTTGTAACTTTTAACACTTTAACACACGCAGTATTAAAGACAACGTGTAAATTACGATTTAAAACACGCACATGTTTGGAAAGTTTAATATATTATTAGCATAATCTATTGGAGTGTCTGTTGGAAAATGTGCCTGTGTTGCCCGCTCAGGAAAAGCCTCTTAGGCCGACCTTGAGTATTTCCTGGTGATTTTCTGATGCGTATAGCCTCCCATCACGGACGATGTCTTCAATTAGCTCCTGGTAGTCCTCTGGGAACAAAGAGACAACACAGAACGTGCAAGATTACATTGGTAAAGGCTCAGCTGTAATTAATAACACTCGTTGTATCCAGTTGTAATGATTAATATTGTAACGTAACGACTTCATTTTTATTTTTCGATTTAAAGCTCTATTAGAGGCCCTTCCTTCTTCATCTTAAAATAAAAATATTGGTATTATTATATTTCGGTAGGAGCCCGGTACAGCGCACAAACCTGCGCCGCAGGGAGGGTGGAACAGACGCTGTGCCACCTGGGCTTAGAGAAGGGGGCAGGGTGGGCTCACTGCCCCACCCAGTGGGGGTCACGAGCGGTGGGGGGGGGGACGGTGAGGAAAAATTACTTCAAAAAGATAGGAGAGGGCACAGGGGGAAAGGGGTGGAGGAACTGGCACTTAGGAAGGAATAACTTGGTGAACTTATCGGCCTATCATAGCCCCACGAGTGGTGATCGACTCCTGTCCAACTCCCGGCGCAAAGGGTTGGCACTCCTCCCTTCCACCTTCATCTGAAAAAAAAACAAAATCATCTACGATAGTCCGCCAGCGATGGCACGTACCGTCGTACGTCACGTAGTGGACCTGGAAGCCCTTGGCGCTGTTGCCCTCGTTGGACTTGAACTGCACCCAGAGGCGGCGCGAGCGCGAGGTGAAGGCGATGGGCCGCTCGTACGTCTGGCACGTCTCGTAGGTGGTCACCGAGTACGGCGAGGCTGCCCGAGGGGAGACAACGCGTCAGGCGGCGAGCGACGCTCACGAAAAAAGAAAAAACGCGCGGCTTGAAATCGTCGCCCGCGGCCGCTTCGTCCACGCCCGCAGCGGGGGAGAGTTGCGCGACGCAAGGAAATGAAACGGCGCTTTCAGGATCGCGGCGGAACATTCACAGTTCGTAAGCGCGCACCGCCGCAACAAATCGCTGGGTCGACCGCTGGTCCAGATAAAGCTCTCGACCGGTTTCGACCTTCCGGGTCTCATCAGGAAAGTCCGGCTTTTTAAAATAACAAAAAAAATTAATTACCAAAATGTTATCGGCAAGAATAAACTACAGGGGAGGGCCCGTTCAGCAACCCTCTACCGGCTTTAACCGGCGCGTGGCGGCGGCAAATCTCCCCAGCGATGAGCCTACCGGTTTTCCTCATGACGAGGTAGTCCCCGCACTCGTCGTCGATTGGCAGGAAGATCTCGGGCACCACGATGAGGATGCGCCGGTTCTGCGGCGGGCTGATGTTCCACGTGCACTCCACGTTGGAGGGGTAGTCGCCCGGGTAGTTGGGCGACTCGATGAAGCCGGTGAACTCGCCCAGCTCCCCGCCGCACAGCGTGTCTGCGAGCGCGAGGACGTCACGCAACGGTCACCGTCACGTGTCGGGGCGCCACAGTGGCGAGATGTTAACTACCTCACCTGGTATACAGGAGTTCGTGGGTTCGATCCTGACCCCGACTGCCTCTATATGTGGAGTTTGCGGTGTCTTTCTCGCAGTGGTCAAGTGGATTTTTCTCCGGGTCCTCCGGTTTTTACCTCCACATTTATAAACATGCTTTTCGAGCAGTTGGCTGCTATACATTTCAACATAAGCCGATTTGTTGAGCTATCCATTGTGGCCAGATCACTTCTAAAAAAGAGCTAAATAGCTCAGTGGACCTTACCTGGAAAATAAAAAAAAAACTTTTAGTATTGTCGTGTTTTAATAGCACCAGCCTCTCAGGGGGTCTTTGGATATCTAAATATTCGATTAAATTCTGGGTAGTGATTCGATTGGAGGATCAATATATATTTGCATTGTTGTGAGTGTGTTTTTCACGAAAATTTAAGGAATCGGAAAGAGAATGGCTTGATGACGAAATAAGAGATTGGTGCCAGACAAATGTGGCACTTTAACACGTAGGCTTTCACGACCAATATCATCCATAAGAGGTTTTTTTTTGGATTAGATCGCGTGAATATTTATATTTACGCAATCTGACCCAAAAAACCTCTATTATAGATGTGGCACTGCTTGAGCATATTGGCACAAGACGGAGGAAAGTGGAAAGAAATGACGAAATGTGCAGTGGACGCCTATGGGCTACCTGCCCACGGATCGTGATGATGATGAGTGTAGCAGCTCCAGTGGCTTGCAAGGGTCATGTGCAATCCATCACGTTATCGTTTATAATACTACTACTACTGCTAAGATTGTTTACCCAAAAAAGCCTCACTGAGTCTCAAAATTTGCACTTATTTATTCATGACTGCTGAGTCAGCTGGCCAGGATTGGGCAAAGACGTTTCTCACTTTCCACCCAGAGTCAACCTGGTGAGCACAAACTTAAGTATTTATGAATGTATCACCAAAACAACAATTTTTTTAAAATATTAAAAAAAAAAAAGACGACTTAATATTTTTAATATTGAAAATAATTACAATAAAAATCATGTCGATGATGTTTTTCTTATCCAGGAGGGTCATATATTCTTGGTTCTTTCAGTAACGTCACGTAGAAGGGAAATAATAAAAGAAAAAATATATGAAACAATTATTTTATTATTTCCCTTCTACGTGACTTTACCGAAAGAACCAAGAATATGAATCCCTGCAGTCATGAAAGCTTTAAATCAGAAGGGTCCTGTCAAGTTTTAACAGCACGGGGCGATGGTTGCCACCGCCAGTCCCAATTGAGTGATTCACAGGTAACTTGTCAGCACTGGGATGCTTTCGCCGATACCAATTAACAATCTATGATTTTTTTTAGCGATAGGAGGAAACTAGATGTCCCGGAGGAAGCGCATAGAGAACAGGGGGAGAACACGCAAACTTCACACAGGAGAGGCACCCGAGTCGGGAATCGAACCCAAACCCGTCTTGCCGCGAGGCCTGAGCGTGAACCCTGCGATGCTCCGTCGCCAAAATCAGTGGAATTGTACGCACATCCTAACACATCCTAACACATCCTAACGCACCCTAACACATCCTAACACACCCTAACACACCCTAACACGTCCTAACACGTCCTAACACACCCTAACACACCCTAACACGTCCTAACACATCCTAACACACCCTAACACACCCTAACACACCCTAACACGTCCTAACACATCCTAACACACCCTACACACCCTAACTCACCCTAACACGTCCTAACACGTCCTAACACATCCTAACACACCCTAACACACCCTAACACACCCTAACACGTCCTAAAACACCCTAACACATCCTAACACACCCTACCACACACTAACACATTCTAACACATTCTAACACATCCTAACACACCCTAACACGTCCTAAAACACCCTAACACATCCTAACACATCCTAACACACACTAACACATTCTAACACATCCTAACACATTCCTAACACACCCTAACACACCCTAACACACCCTAACACATCCTAACGCACGCACAAGTCTACGCGTGTATAGTAAGCGAGAGAACCATATTTTGACTCGTGAATCTATGGATTGTTATCACTCTTTCAGCGGTTAGTTGGGATTCATTCTCATGTCAAAACATCGTAATGCACATCGTCAATCCATCGTGATTTGAGTTTAGTGCCAGCAAGTCCAGCAAGGCCACTTCTTGCTGATAGGAATCGGTGAAGCCAACACTAGTTTAATGATGACCTTTTTGCAATGCATGTCATTGGGAAAAACATAGAAAAAACAACATCTGGGGGCTTATATATTGACAGAATGAATGGTCTTATCGTGTTTATTGCATTATAATAGTGGCAGCCAAGGAATGGAATGTGACTGAGAGGACATCCACCAAAGAGATGGGAGTCATGAACTCAACTTGTGCACGGACGCGAGGTGGATTGCTGCACCGCAGAGACGGTGGATCGATTATGGCTGACGATGATGATTATGAATAAATACGTAACATAGTCTGTTAAGACATTCAAGGTAAAGGTGTAGCCCTGCAAGTGCTTCAGAATCTGAATATTTGTTTATACTGGAGGAATCCGACGAGCTATAAAAGCTCTTTTTCACACAGATGTCCAGTGCCAACTCTCAGTGAAAAGGCCTCCTCTAGAGGGAGTTCTCCACAGCCCCTGTAAGAGATTGAAAGATATGGGAAATACACGGAGAAAAAGAACGCAGGCAGGCGGTCGCGCTCACTTTTGCACTGCGTCACGTTGGTGGAGCCGTCGAAGTCGGTGGTGGTGTTCCCGGGGCATCCCACGCAGAAGTTCTGTCCGAACTCGGGCTGGTAGGTCCCGATGGGGCAGCGCACGCAGCGGTGCGTCCCGCTGTCGTAATAGTGTCCCGGTGAGCAGTGCACTGTGGGGGCGACGGCACACGCGCTCGCTTTGTTAACGGATCGGCGGCGGGCGAATTTGGCGGCGGTCACTGCGAGTGGTCGGAACTCCGTCGGGCGTCACGATGGCTAAGGGCTGCCCGCGACGGACCGCAGCGTGGCCGGCTGAGACGAGACGGAGTTGGCCAGTTCTGAATGAAGAGGCAGAGACTGGCATTGTTTGGCGACGTTATGAGCGACCGCAGTGCACCCTGGGAGGCTAAACAATGGTGATTGAATTTCGATTTAAAGCTTTCGTGACTGCAGGGATTCATCTTCTTGGTTCTTTCGGTAAAGTCACGTAGAAGGGAAATAATAAAATAATACAAATAAAACATAATAAAATAATTCTCACGACGTTTCGGCCACAACGCAAGCAGCCGTCCTCAGGTGAAGACCAGGTCTGTTGGGGAGAGAGCGTCTGAATGACGCTGTCTCCCCGACAGGACGGCTGCTTGCGTTGTGGCCGAAACGTCGTGAGAATTATTTTATTATGTTTTATTTTTATTATTTTATTATTTCCCTTCTACGTGACTTTACCGAAAGAACCAAGAAGATGAATCCCTGCAGTCACGAAAGCTTTAAATCAAATATAATTCAAAGCAGCTAAATGTTTGGCAGCTTTCGTCGACTAGACTAAACTAAAATGAAACGAAATGAATTTCCACAGGCTGAAGACTTGACTAAAATTAGACACAGACATTTGATCGAAGCTGGAGGAACCCGATGAGCAACGAGGTGTGTAGCTCCTCAAGCTGGATAACTACAGAGTAAGTTACACAGCCGGGTGTATTAAAACTTCCACAGATTGTCGTCGATTTAACTTATACCAGGTCATTCTTGCAAATCCGAGTCACTGTTACAAATGAGGCAAGGCCCCGTCTCTCGAGTCCCAACCAACAAAATAAACGACGACTCAAATAAAAAACACAAAACGCCGATTAAATGAACCCTGGACACGTCACGCGCACGAGGCACGGCTAACGGCATCCACGTGGCGGTGAGCGTCAAGCCGCCTCCGAGTGCAGGGGACACATTTCCTTCGCCAATCGAGAATTCGAGGGTGGACCGCTCCGCGTTGGCAGCCGCCCCAAACTCAGCATCTCCTCCTGGGCGACCCCCCCAAACCCCCCCCCCAACCCCCAGCCACCCCCCCCCCGGCCCCCCACCTCTGGTCTCGCAGTCCTGGAACGCGGTGGAGCCCTCAAACTTGGTCATGAGGCCCCCTCCGCACAGGAAGCACGAAGAGCGGCCCGCCTCGGGTTGGTACGTCCCCATCGGGCAGTGCTGGCACGGGCGGAACCCGTCCGCTGAAAAGTGCCCCGGAGGACACTTCCCTGCGCAAGGAGAAACACAGACAAAGAGCCCCTCTGTGTGCAGCCTTCGACTGGAGGGTGCCGTGAGCGAGCGGTGCACGAACCCCAACAACCGCGCTACCCTCCGCTCCCCTCCAGCGGGGCGCGCTAGAGCTCCCTCCCGTGGACGCCCCTGCTGCCAGCAGCGACAAGAGCAGGCGAGCGCGCAATTGCAGGGCTGCGCAATTGCAGGGCTACCCGCATCGATGGGGGGGTGGGCATGCGCGTGGCGGAGATGCGGTGGGGAGCGGGCGCTCTCACCGGCGCACTCGGAGATGTTGCGGGCGCCCAGCACGCCCAGCAGGCCCTTGACGTCGGTGCCGGGGCAAGGCTCGCACGCCAGCTGGCCCTCCTTGTCCTGGTAGGTGCCGGGCGAGCACGACAGGCACTTCTCCTGCGCGCCGCTGTAGAACGTGCCGGGCCTGCAGCTCACTGCCGTGGCGAAACGAAACGAATGAGCTTGAGGAGAGAGAGAGATTGTGTCCGTGCGCGGATGGCGTAGCGCTGTCTCAACGCGCTCTCTGCCCCTCGAATGCGTTTAAGTCGCTCGCAGAGTGAAAGCCAAAGGGGATGCTGTCGGGAAGAGAGCTTCGAGGCCTTGTGCGAATTGCGCGATAGAATACAGAGTTTATTATTATTATTATTATCGTCAAACATAATTGTACATTTGCGAAAAGTTCTTTGAGCGTGCGATTGCGTCTCCAAATTGTTGGCAATGCTCTGATATTTGTGATTCCCCGATGGCAATGTAACTTTATACGAAGGTTTCGTTCATTTAGCATTGTCTTTATGAGAGTAGTTATTATGAGCCAGTCTATATTTGCGCCTAATTTCAACTCTCTAGTCCTCCTAGAGCATCATTCCAATGTTCGTCAGTCGTTCAGTCACGATCGTCCGTCCATAAGTGGCTTTTCATTTTACTCTAGCAGCCCAAAGTGCAGTCGACCCATTGGGACTCATGAACTCACAACCCTTATACAGCATGTCACCAGCAGGTGGCAGTGTGGCGCAGCTATTCAGGGTGGCCCAAAAATCAGGGCACCGAGGTTGATATAATCTATTATAACACTGGCATTAATAAAAAAAAAATATTCTTTAAATTCATATTTTATCTATCATCATTAATATAAATTTGTTCTTCCTTTTCAGGTGGCAATTAAAAATTGAAAGACAATTGACCAAAGACGAACAAGTTCAATTAGTGTATATGTACACTAAGAGGGCAGCTGTAATAAAAAAAAAGTGCATAGTTAATTTCAAAAGAGAACACATGCATGCATTAATCTTAATCGAAGTCAGTTTGAGTATTTGTTAAAATAAATGAAATGACCCAATGTGATTTGTTAACACAAACATAACCCTGTGTGTCCTCACTTTTGGGCCACCCTGTTCAGGCAGAGCAGCACGCACTACCACAAACAGCACTGTTAGAGGATGTGTTCTCCATTCGTCAATCTCACTGGGCTCCTGAAGGAGGAGATGGGGTTTTTATGCGACCGTCACAATGATTTCGATTTAAAGCTTTCGTGACTGCAGGGATTCATCTTCTTGGTTCTTTCGGTATTTTATTACTTCCCTTCTACGTGACTTTACCGAAAGAACCAAGAAGACGTCACAATGATTTTGGGTTTTCTTGGTTGCCCCTTTGGAGTTGCTATTGTGGGCGAACAAAAACCTTTATGTGAATGTGTGGCCCCCGTGCCAATACCGGAGGCCTGAATGCAATTTCCATCTTATTAAGTGGACGCATCGTACGGTAGTCTTAGTCTTTCAGTTGCAAGCACAGCGTTTGTAAATGACGGTGGTGGTAGGTGTTGTATTAAACACCCTGTGCCCCTGCAACAAGATGTGTGATGATTCGCCACCTCCTCAATGGATCAATGCGTTGTCACGATTCGGTCATTACCCAATTCATGAACTGGTTCCGTTTATGTTAGCCCATGCGGTGCACGTAGAATCTATCGTAGGCTGACAGCGCGGACGCCCGGTGGCGATGTCTCGGGGCGGCTGTGAAGGCGTCCGAGTGAGAGATTTCCCTTCAGTCATTGTGATTCGCTTCGCATTGTAGCCACGCCGTTTGAGACCAATTCACGGTGGTGAAAAAGACGCCCATGGCTGTGATGAGAGACGATGGCTGTAATGACGATGTCACAACGCGAGGTTGCACTGTGCAAATATGGCAGCTCACGGCTTTGGCAGTGTCAAAGGGGTTGTGTAGCGTGGACCAGGGGGTCATGGGTACAGCATTTGAGTGCTTTGTTGTTTTGTTTCGCATTGTTTATAAATGCCTATCGTCGGTAGATAAGACAGTTATATTACTTTCACGGGAAGGCCAACATGACAAGCTTTTTTTTATTAGAACACCATATTTTCAGCCTCTCCTAGTGGAAATGTCACAATGCCACCACCGGTAAGATCGCATAAATGTGTCGTTAAACCCGCAACTGTACTGTAGCATAGCTCGCTGGCATACAAAGAGAAGAAGAAATTGGAAATGGGGGAGGCGGTGATGGTGGCGGTGGTGGTGGGATGGGGGCAGCACCAGGCCCCACGGTAACCTCACGAGGCCACCGCGAGGGCCTCCGCAATTTTGGAGTCCCACGCAGCTAACGACAGCAGCAGCAGCAGCGTCCATGCGGGCCACTCACCGCACTTGCCGTCCGTGGGCACCTGGCCGGCGCTGCAAGGGCCCTGGCGCTCGCTCTTCTTGGGGGCCTTGCGCGTCACCTCGTAGTCGGTGCCCGAGAAGCGCACGACGAACTGCTCCTTGTTGATGGACTTCTTGAGGGCGCGGATGGTCTTGCGCAGCTTCTTGTCGGTCTTCTTCTTGACGCACTGCACGTCGCACGAGGCTGCGAGCCGGGAAGGGGGGGGGGGGGGGGAAACGCGAGTCGCGTACGAATAAGTGTCTCGTCCTCCCTCCCCCCAACGGCCGTGCACTTTGGTTTAAGATCGCAGCGTTGCACTGTGCCCACACGCGTACCACGCACAGCCTTGTTTTGTCAATCGACCCTACACCGCAGCAGGACGTGGAGGGGTTTATTCGCCCGTAGTTCGGACCCTTTGTGCGACCATCATCACGTGAAAGCGCGGGGCGATTCCAGACCAGAGCCCAGAGAGAGAGAAGAGAGGTTCGCCCCGAGCGATGCGCGACGCGCGTGAGAAACCCGAGCGCCGGGTTCGTGCCTCTTGGGCATCATCGACCGGCGTGGAGGTGGCCGCAACATTCTCCGCGGACGTGGAATACCGCGGCGTCGCTTTTGGCGGCGGGAGCGCGGGCAACCGGGCGGTGTTTGTTTTGAAGGGGGGGCCGCCGTTTGGTTACAGGATGACCCCTCGGAATGCCGCTCAAAAAAATGCGCACAACACCCTCCAGACGCTACACACGGTGGGGAAGGAGATTGCGCGGAACCGTCAAGGCCAGGTCCAAGCCCACAAGAGAAACAAAACACGAGAAAAATATACAGAAATAGAACTAGGTGTGTATATCGCGCATGTGCATTTATATAGCCAATATAAAATTGGTGATTAAAGATACCCTTCGTCGTCATACGCTGATGTTGAGCGACCCCTTACTCTCGCCCTCTTGAATATTAGTTATTAATTTAAAATACGTTTTTTTATTTACCTGCGCTTTTAAAGAGGAGGTGCAAACCAATTGGGCTGTATTTCGACACACGGCGCACCTTAGTTGCTGTTGTAAGTGAATCCAGTCCAATGTGAATGCTTGACTTGCGGGCAGTATAGAGTCTCAACGTGCATCAAGACATATTTACAGAACGTTATTTTACACATGGGTATGTATATATATATTTTCGCGCGTGCGTGCGCTGCAGTGATTGCCAAACCATAAAATTAGGAAAAACGGTTTATGGGTAAGACAATGCACGGGCATTGTGCTCGCAAAAGGACGCGTCAAATTCTATACCGGATTGTTGAAGTATTTACGCGAGTTGCATATCCGACTCGCTGGAATGGACTGAGGTGTCGGCGGACGTGTGAAAATGTCGAATGTGCGAAGATCGACAGAAAATGACGGGTTGTATCGTACCACTGCGTACACGTACGGTACTGGACAAAAATAAATGCTCCACTGTGCCATAGACGTAAGAAAAATGCGCGCGCGATTAGGAATACTGTACTTTACTCTCTGAAAAAAAGTCGGAGATGTGAACATCTATGTGGACATTGACAGTCACGCCATCACGTGCAAATCCTGCACTGGGTGTGGGCGGTTAATTGGCTAGGGCGGATACGTGAGGGTCGATTTTGCGACGTTGCTTTGCGCGGCGTTAAGTTGAACCAATGCACGGGCTCGATGCAGCCATGCAGCTGCAAGTTGAAAAGTCATAATTTGAGCCCGGCAAAGTTTCTTGAAGCCGTCGCTCACTTGAAGGCCTCCTTTTCCTTGTTTATTTTTACTTCGCAATAAACCAGTAATTCCGCGCCCCGCCGAACGTACTGCTTGCCTGCTAAAATAAATGCCGCATTGAAACAACAACTGTTCCTCATGCCAATGTCCTGTTTTCTGTCTTGATATGGAAAAAAAATGTGATTTCAAAGGAAGCAAATTAAGCGCCATTCCTTGGTAAAATAAATAAATGAATAAGTGTTTTGCCGACAAAAGCTGTTTATTGACACTGGGTTCCAAATTTCAATTCCCGAGCAACTGACGCACCAGCCTCAGCCACAGGACAGTCTAATGGTCAGCCTGCATCCATTCAGCCTTTTCTCTCACGACGAGCTACATGATCCTCCGTGACGCTGCGATGCCGGAACGGTTCGTGCACTGGACTTGCGATCGATCCAGAGGTCGCCGCTGTCTCACCCAAACACCCAGCGTGGAAGTTGCAACAATGGCGACGTTTCTTACATCCTCCGCCCACCTCGGCGCGGCCAGCAGTATAAGTGGGTAGAGCAGAGTTAGTCCATCAGCAGGTTTGCGGGTGGTGGGGTAAAGTATGGCTGCTCCCACATCTTCAAAGATTTGTGGGCAATATACCCCATAGAGTGGGAGGGGGGGGCTCTCTAGAGGGGGCTCTCTAGTGCACCTAAATCGTGTGGTCAATAAAATACTTTTGCAACGAAAAATGAATACGGGACGGTGGTGAGGGCATTATACATGTGCGGGGACAGTGGCTGACAGAGGAGTACTGTGACGTGTTGTGACGTGCAGCGTGGTGGTGGTGGTGGTGGCAGGTCTGACGAGACGAAACCTCTTCTTGTTTTTTCAAACTTTTGATACTCGTAAAACACATTCCTGCGGAGGGAGCTGGTAGGAACGTTGGGTTGCTCGGTCAATGGCCAGGGTTAACGGCGGCGTGGTGCATTCCGCAAATATGCCCGACTGTGAGGGCGGGCACAACCCGGCGTGAGTAGGTTAAACGTTGAGTTTTATAAGGGCACCACGGGGTGACCAGCCCCTCCCCACCCAGCCCCACCCCTCCTACCCACCACCCTAGCCCCACCCTCCCCACCCACCCAACCCCTCCCCAACCAGCCCCTCCCCACCCTCCCCACCCAGCCCCTGCCCACCCTCCCCTCCCCACCCAGCACCACCCTCCCCACCCAGCCCCTCCCCACCCAGCCCCTCCCTGCGCGACTGACGGACACAATAATCCCCTGTGGGCTGGTGGAACCAGTGGGTTCCTATCAGTAAAAAGATCCCATCGATATAACTGCTCAGCCCGAGCTATAAATGCTCTGATATTTGCATTGTATTTGTACTGTTCGCCGTTTGGCGTTCTCCACTCTAACAGTGGTGAGGCAAGGCCATGAGGCAAAGTTGTCTCTGGTGTTGGCAAATCAGTTTCAAAGATAATGCATATATTATATTATCAGATGATGTTTGTTTACATGTTTCGCCACAAGTAAGTGTGGTTAATGTGGAAGTGATGGCTTGCAAAAGGTTTCTATTTGGTGTTTGAACATCTTAACACTTCCTGTTTTTTTTTTCGCTGCCAGAAAGGGTAAAAAAAAACCTCTTCTTATTTTTCGATTTAAAGCTTTCGTGACTGCAGGGATTCATATTCTTGGTTCTTTCGGTAAAGTCACGTGGAAGGAAAATAATAAAATAAAAATTAGAGATGTATTTCTCACGACGTTTCAATTGCAATACAAGCAATCATCATCAGGTGTGAAAACCACAGCAAGAAAATTTGAAGAAAGAAAACGCCACTTTTTTCAAATATTCTTGCCGTGGTTTTCACACCTGATGATGATTGCCTGTGTTGCAATCGAAACGTCGTGAGAATTATTTATAATGTTTATTATTTTATTATTTCCCTTCCACGTGACTTCGCCGAAAGAACCAAGTATATACCTCTTCTTACGTGAAAAGTTTCACATTTTTGAAACTGCCGACAAAAGGTCCCCGTCGAGACGAAGCGGTTCGTCCGGCGGACCTGAGCCGTCGCGGGTGGAAGGGAGCGACGCGTCCGCAGGAGGGCGACACTCACCTGTCGCCGCCTCGGCGCTCACTTCGATCTCAAACTCGGCCGTGATCCTCGACTCCAGGTTGGGCGCCTTGCGTCCCTTGCGGTTCGGCTTCCCCTTGGTCGAGTCGCACTTGAGGTTCACGAAGTTCACGAGGCTGTTCTCTGCGGAACGCGCACGGAGGGCGGCGGTTGTCACGGCGTGTGTATACGTGTGTGTGTGTGCATACGTGTGTGTCATCTCGGTCATCTCAGTCAGTCGACCCGTGGCACCTGCTGGGTCTGACCCGTGACCTCCTGCCAGCAGGCGTTCGACACTTCACGTGGCCTCAAGGTGCACATGTCCTGGCACAAGCGTAGTGGTGACGTCACCGCCACTTAGTGGCGAATGGCGGTTGTTGTTGTTGTTGTATACGAGCGGAAGTGTAGTGGGGAGCGGTGGGTTAGCGGTTAGCGCTACGCCGCGCTATGAACCCGGCCGCCCGAGTTCGATTCCCGCTCACGGCCAACACCGGTGACGATTATCTGAACCGGTCCTGGGCCTTCCTTAGGTCGACTCAGCCTCAAATGAGTACCTGGTGCGGTGTGTAAACATCGCCACTGGGGAGACAAAGGCAGTCTGGCGTGGTGCTCGCCACCCACCCTCTCGTGTGCCGTTCCTGCCTTCATAGGTGCTCGCTAACAGTGATGAGTCCAGGCCAGAGGGTATGGAGGAAGCTGCCGTGGTGGCACGGACGTGGTGGCAAATCGAGAATGTTTTGCTCTTTGGAGAGGCTCGTCCACTGGCGGAACCAATGGGGGGGGGGGGGGGGTGGCACGTGCCCCCCCCCCCCAATGATCCGATGGAATTCCCTAATTTCGATTGGATCATCGGGGTTTATTAGTAATAAATCGGAATTTTGGGACCGCCACTGCCACTGTGTAGCATATTATTCGGTGCCAGGGACTCTATGAGATTATAGGACAACAGAGTCCATAATTGGCAATAAGTAACGGCAAAGCGGTTATAAGTGACTCACAGAATTGCGCGCAGTTGCGTATACAGGACACGACTTCCCTGAAGGCATCAACACCTTCAGCGAGCGCGATGCCGATCACACAACGCGGTTCGAAATCGACCCTCGATCGATGGCTGCGCCATCGCCGCACACGCGTCGAATAAAAAGCAAGGGACAAGTCCTTACTTACTAACAACTCCTCTATCATTGTTCATTGCTGGAGGGGTTGCCCGCCCCCCGCGACCTGAAAATCCTGGCTCCGCCATTGTCGTCCCCACCAGATAAATATGGACTTGTGAAGAGGAGGTGACCAAGACCTCGTAGTCTTTTGAGCAGAAAACAACGTTTTGCTTTTTTTTGCTGGATAATAACTCGCAAATAATGAATAGCAAAAAAGCTCAGGACGTCAGACTGTGACTTTCACGTGCATCTCAAGCCCGCTAGGTGGCGCGCCGCATCACGTGCACGCCGAAAGAAGCGTCCGTAGTCGTCTGGGCAGACAAAGATAACCTTTTTGTGACGGCCAAAGGTTTCGATTTTTTTGTTTTGCGAGAAGCCTCAATTGCAATGTTTGGCCAATTCCGCAATACGTTTAGAATGTTTGCTTGTGAGCCTAGATTAGTCGGCATGGACCAAATTCCTCCGGAGATTCAATAAACCGTCACGAGTTCCGGTTCCATGATTCCCACCGATATTTGTTTTAAATTGTATTTTCTGTGTATTGATCAATGTTGAGAGTCTGTCTGGTTTGTGTTGTCTTGCTTGGACAGTCCGCCTCGTTTGCATGGCCAAATCTGGCTTGGAGGGCCCATCCCGTGTTCCGTCTTTGTCCGATCACGTTTGTATCATACGTCTCAATTGCCTTATATCTTGTTCGGACTGTGAGCATAAACATTAAAGGGGCAATCGATTTGCATGAAGTGACTAATTCCTAAGTACATTTATCATGAGCGGAAAAAAACAATCGATTGAAATTTATGAATTGCCTTGTTGTTTATCACCATCGTAATCATCATCTATGATCACTCCACTTTCTCTATGAAGGCTTCCCCAAGTCATAGCCAATTGTTGCGCGACATTAACAAAGACAAAGATCCCCCGTATAGCCTTAACAGACTGTAGGAGCAAGTGCTGTTAGCGAGCACCTATGAAGGCCGGCACGGCACACGAGGGGGTAGGTTGCCAACACCACGCCCGGACGCCTTTGTCTCCCCAGTGGCGATGTTTACACATCGCACCGGGTACTCATTTGAGGTTTAGTCGACCTAGGGGAGGCCCAGGACCGGTTCACATAATCGTCACCGGTGTTGGCCGTGAGCGGGAATCGAACCCGGGTCGCCAGATTCGTAGTGCAGTGTAGCGCTAACCGCTGCACCACCGCTCCCCACATTAGCAACCCACCCAGCATCTGCGGACGCAATCCGATTTCGTCGCTCCGTCTAACTTCCGACGGACGTGCAACTCGGACGCGTTCGAGTACTCGGGCCCACCGCTCCATCGCCATTCGTGACCCGCCGGACTCAGCGTTACACGCCCACTCGTCAGTCTCGTCAGCTGGGGGTTGTGGAGCAACTCCAGCCTCTGAATCAGCGCAATTGGCAAATATGGGAGGGGATTTTGGGGTTTGTTTGATTTTTGAGCGAAAAGTGAGAACGCCCGCCGTCAACCCTCCGGATGTCGTGCCCAAAGAAAGCCTAAACACGGCATTGGGCAACTCGCCAAGCGGGTAAACAAAACACGTAAACAATCGGTTCCCTGTGGTGACGGCGGCGGCACGCAGCTGAAGCAGCTCCAGTGCCCCGTTTCGCGAAGGTTTCCTGGTTCGAGTCCAGTTGCCGCTCTGATTAATCCTCACCACCGCCACCCATTACCAGCGTCGTCAGCTACGGTCAATCCACTGATGTATTTGAGGCCTCCCCAAGCCTCCGTCACCAATGACCATCCTGCAAAGGGACAGCTGCCATTGAGGGGGGGGGGGGGTGCCCTTTGGCTAGACTGATTGAAGGTCCTATGAGAGCAAATCCCAGCAACACGAGCACTTCGGAACCGCGTTGGGCAAATCAACGCGTCCAAGACGACCGTCCCGCCTGATGAGCGAGCGGCGGCCAAAGTTGACGTGCAACGTTGGGCAAACGTTGCCATGTGGTTGACGTGCAACGTTGGCCCCACGTTGGCCCAAGCGTCCACGTTCGCTGGGGATCGACTCATGTCGCGGTGGCTTTTTTGGCGTTCTAACGCGAGGTCCGTTCTCGTTTGAATTATCGCGCAACCGCGCGGGGCAAGTTCGTGTCCACGCACGCACGGACGCACGAAGAGCAACGGCGTAAATCATGTGTTCTTTCCTTTTCTTGGACACAAGGCGGCACACCGTCAACAGAGCTGAACGCCGCTCCGCGTCCTCTCGATCGTCCGCGGTTTATCTCTCCTCCCATCGCGGCTTCTTTGACGAGCACCGGAGCGTGAGCGCCCGCTTATCGGGAGGGACCCGGGGCGGAGGTGCCAATAGCCGATCCCCCGAGCACCGGGCGAGGTCGTGTGTCGTCGGCCGAGCAAACACAGCCGCCTCGCCTCCCGCCTTTGATTTTCACCGCTCGGTATTAGAAAAAATGAAAAGATCGCTGGTTGACTGGCTGGCTGACTGCTTGACCGACTGGCTGGATGACTGGCAGGCTGGTTAAATGACTGAAAAGCTGACTGATTGACTGAGTGGCTCAGTGACTGGCTGGCTTTTTGACTGGTTGACTAGCTGGCTTGGCTAGCTGGCTGGATGACTGACTGCCTGGCTGGCTGGCTGACTAGCTAACTGACTAGATGGCTGGCTGGCTCGTGAGCACGACCGTCAGTCAGCAGAGTGTGGGCCGAGAATAAGCGACGCGTTCCTCGCTGCAGTGCGAACACGCACAACGGCAGCTGAAGGGGTCACGCTCCACAGAAGGAACGGTGAAAATTAAAACGACGAATGAATTTCATAGCAGCGTGACGCCTCTCCCTGTTACGCACACACACGCGTGCACGCGCACGCTGAATTTCTTTCATGTTCCTTAGGAGCAAGGGAGATGTGGAGGAAGGCGATAAAGCAGAGGGGGAGAAAAAAACACGCTGCCGTTTTCTTTTTGTTTGCGTCCAGAGGCGATGTTTGCTGTTTGACGCGTTCATCTCACGAGAGAAAAGCACGGAGGAATAAACAGCCCGCCGACACGCAACGCAGATATTGTGTTCTCGGGCACGAGCAGCGAAGGTTCTGCCACTCATGTGTTGAGCGTCTTTGAAATATCTAACATCAACAGCGGAACGAAACCTGTAAAAAAAAGAATCCTCTTGATTGATATCGCTCTTCTATTCAGTAGCAAAGTTAACAGCGTGTGGTTGTGTTTCCCCCCCCACACCACCACCACCACCACCTTGCCCCCACTCATTTCTCTTTGATTCACTTGCTGCACTTTATGTTATTGCATTTGTCATTATGATGACCCGGGGTCACTCCTGTAAACGAGGCTATTCCTGGTCGGAGCCGCCCCTCGAGTTCTCACCTCGTTAGACAAATAAACTTGAATGAAGAACAGATAAAAGGTGTTGACCCACTGCGTGTGAATAGGTGGATTATTTTTGTATATTATTCAGTTTGCAAATCGTATACCAATATTGCTTTCTTTTTCATGTGGCAACATGTTAAGTAGTTTAACTAAATTCAATAATATTACCTAATTTCATATTGGTGTAATCTTTCTTTTGCGCTTAGTGTTTTGGACTTTTTAGTTTAATCCAGCGATCGTAAACGCACCCCGAGTGAGCACGTACGTGCTGATGCGGTTAACACAGACGTAGAACAGCTGAAGGGACGGGTGAACAGACGAAATTTTTACAGATCGAGCGCACGAGAAGCACGCACAGTTAAGGAAACGGTTTTAAATTCATGAAAGAGAGAAACACGCTCCCACGTTGTACCGCTCGCAATTCATTTTCAATTCCCGAACTCGTCCATTTCCCGAAGAAGCTCCGCAGCAGCACGGTGGAGCGAAACGTCGGACGTCGCACCGAACAGCGGGCGGCGGGTACGACCCCCGAACACGCGTCGGAGAGAGCCGTGTGCGGCGCAACCACGAAACCCGGCAGCAGGAGAGGGCCGGGGGTCACGCTCCAGACACGGAACGTCGAAAATAAAAACGA